CGACACCGGGTCCTGCCCGGCCTCCGGCGCTGGCCCGTCAGCGCCTTCCTGCCCGGCCTCCGGTGCTCTCTGGTCTTCGCCCTCGAGGCCGGCCCCCTGAGAGCCGTGGTCTTCGCCCTCGATCCCGGTCCTCTGTGAGCCGTGGTCTTCGCCCGCGATCCCGGCCCCCTGACTCTTCCTGCCGCTGCCCTCGTCCTCGAGCCCGGCCCCCTGACTCTTCCTGCCGCGGCCTTTGCCCTCGAGCCCGGCCCCCTGACTTTCCCGGCCGCGGTCCTCGCCCTCATGCTCGGCCCCCCCGAGTTCGCCCGCGATGGCCTTCGCCCCTCCATAACCCCCACCTTGAACTCTGCCTTGCCCCCGGGCCGTCCGCCCGAATACCCCTTTTTGAACTCTGCCTTGCCCCCGGGCCGTCCGCCCGAGAACCCCTCCTTGAACTCTGCCTTGCCCACGGGCCGTCCGCCCGAGATCCCTTCCTGGTCCTCTGCTGTGCTCCTGGGCGGTCAGCTCAGTCCCGTCCTCCAGACCCCCTCCACCCACCCTGGTGGCTTAGTGATGCGTCCCTCCTCCGGACCCCCTCCACTCACCCTGCTTAAGGTTTTGGACTTTTTGTTTTGTTTTGGGACGTCTGGAATCCGTCCCTTGAGGGGGGGGGTACTGTTAGGATCTGTCTGTGTTGGTGTTTTTCTTGTCTTTTTCTATCTTTGGGTTTCCTGTTTTATTTTGTAAAGTGTTCACCCCCGTTTCCTGCCTGTCTGCTTTCTGTCTGTTTCCCTCCCCGATTACCCGATTGTGTTCACCTGGTACCTCTGTGTTTTCTCCTCCCTCCTCACCTGTCTCGTGTTTATGTGATTAGTCCTGGGTGTATTTAAGTTCTGGGTTTTCTGTCTCTCTTTGTCGGGTTGTCTTTTGTCATGACTAGTTCGTCGGTGAGTGTTCTGTTCTGTCTGTTATCACCTAGCCTTGAAATAAAGGAACTTTCACTTTAATCTGCATTTGGGTCCTACCTGCTTCACACACCGTGACAACTCCTGTGTTTTCAGCAACTATAAAGCACAACAAATTGCATTTTGTAACTGATAAAGAAAGCGTCATGGACTTCAAGCTTGAAATATTGCTCATAAATGTATTTTTTATCTCACAAGCACATCTGTTTATGAACAATATGATATCTAAGCCACAGTTGCCATTTTGACAGTAGTGTGTAACCTCCACAGAATCCAGGCTATGATATCATGGCAGAAGACATATCTGTGTGGCACGTTCCCAACAACCTCCGACTGGAGCACTGGAACCTGGCAGCCATCCTCCGCTACCACACTGAGACCCACTTTCTGCGCCTGTATGGAGGAAACCTCTTTCAGATGTTCACGGTAACTTGTGTAGTTGTGCATTGTGTGTTATGTTAAATCACAGCGGTGGAACCTGACTAATTATATTTACTCAAGAAAAATGTAGGTATGTGTGTCTACTGTGAGTGTTTCCATGTTATGCTCCTTCATATTGTTAATCCACCATGTCAGAGTATGTATTGTACTTTTCTAATCCATGGTATATTTAAAAGCATTGGTTAATAAATAATTAACAAATAGTAAATTCAGATAAGTACAAATATAATTAACATGATGTATTATTATAGATTAGGCCAACCCGGTATCACGGCAAGACGTGAACATGTGACGATTTACCATGCTGGGAGACGTGAAGATGTCACGATTTCGTCCCTTGAAACGTGACAGTTACACGGTATTGTTAACCCATGTTAACCAGTGGAGAAATACCCGGAAATGCCAAGCAAATGCTACCCCGACGGTCGGTTGTTATTGTCAATATTAATATAATGATTCATTTTTTAATATTCACACTCGATTACGCCGATTTTCTTGTTGCCCCAGCTGGTCGACACCTCTTTTAGCAGAAACAAAGCCTACATTAATGTATTAAATCGATGTTAATCCATGCGTGTGGATGTGGAATTAACGGACGTGACGTTGTGCGATTGCGTTGCCAGGTAACAGCTTCGGTTCATGTTAATTTACAAACTCTTCAACTACAACCGTAGTTATATTTAAAAACATGTTAGAAGGCCTCACAAAATACTTTAATGTAAATTAAAATGTAAATGTGAAGGAATGTGTGTATAACAAAATACATCCGTCATAAACGAAACCGGAAACAGACGGCATTTCCGGGTATTTCTCCACTGGTTAACATGGGTTAACAATACCGTGTAACTGTCACGTTTGAAGGGACGAAATCGTGACATCTTCAGGTCTCCCAGCATGGTACATCGTCACATGTTGGATTAAGCAACATGGCAGTATATATATATATATATTTTAATTGCTTCCAGCTTTACCTTTTTTTTTTTACTATGTACCGATCAACAATTGTAATCCATTTACTGTATATATAAACCACAAACAAATAAGTCACATGAACTCACAAAACATCAATCACTTATGTGACTCCGAGAGCCTACGATTGTTTAAATCATGGGGATTGACTGTGAGTGTGGGGGGGAAGAAGTATTTTTTGTCCTTTGTCACTCAGTTTAAGAGTGTAGTTCAGGGGATAGGGATGTGTGAAAGTAAAGTTGTAAAGTTCTGTTTTTCCAGTCCAGAGTGTGGTGTGTGGGTGTAGAGTGCAAGAGGAGGGGACATTATATTCCCCTGTCCTGCTACAACATATATTGCTACTTTACAGGCTAAAATATTTTACTACGACTACATACTGCATTTATCTTCTAGCAATAACCAGTAAGATACAACGTCGACTCCCCCAGCAACAGAGGGCCAGCAATTCCCATTGTGTATGACCATGGAGACAAAGAGTCCACCAAAATGTTATATGGACCCAATCCAAGAGGTAAAACTCTAATATAGTGGAATGAAGATAATATAGAGCTTTTCAACCATCATGTATGAGCATCTATATCACTAATTACTTGAATTACTAATTTTATCAGATTTCCTAAAACAATTAATTTATACATTTAATCAAAAAACAGGAATTATTAAATCTTTAATAACAATGTTATCCTTGAATGACCAAATAGAAGACACCAACTTACTAAACCACATTTCTCCTGCTGTAATCAAAGGTACATTTTTTTTTAATTGTGTATTTTTCTTATAAGGGGAGTTTGAACCAGGTTTCATCACATTCAGAGCAATAAACAATGAACGTGCAGCCATGGCTATCTGCTCCGGGGTCAAGCCGGTCCGTGCATACAACACTGAACATGTGAGTCTCGTCTCAACCCATTTTCACTCTTCTACTGTCTGTCAACACAGCAAGTGTTACACATACTGTTGCTTCTGTGTGTCTCCAGTACTGTATAGGAGGAGGGGGCTATTTTCACATTGATCAGTGTGGGGACTTCCCATCATTTGACTGGGACAGATTGGGAAGGGAGCAAGGCTGGAGTGCCTCCAAAGAGATGACTGAGGCTGCTGTTTTACTCTTCTACCGCTGAGAGGACTATTTGCACATGCACAGCTATGGATTTTATGACATGTCAGCCTAGCCAACAATCACAGTTGAAGACAAATCACAGCATGTTACAAAAACAAGACATGTGTTTCTGCATATGCCCATTAAAGAAAACAACTAATATTATAGTAAACAGTAATAATAAACAGTTATTTGTAATGAAGGCGCACAACAGCAAATAGAGTTATCAAACTGCATTTAGGAAGCAATTTGAGTTCAAAGTGTCTTAAACTTCTTTATCATGCTTTCAGTTGCTCAAAGCCCCTCTGTGATATTCTCTGACCTGTATACACACACAGATAATGTTAGTGAAAGAATCTAACTCCCACAGTGGTGAAGTTGTTCAGGAGGTGACCCAGCTGAAAAAAAGACACAAGTAAAACAGAGGAATGTAACCTCTGCAATTAGCCTGCACTGTTCTGATATATAAATGTTCAGTATTTTAAAGTACATTTTAACTGATGTATTATTGGGTTGCACTTACATTGACCTTTCATGAAGAGTCTGCTTGATTCATGTTTGGTATGATGGAACCGCAATAATAACATGTTTATGTCTTTGTATATTTCATTTATCAAGTGACTTTAACTATTACAGTTTCTCAATAAATTATACATTTAATCACATGAAATAAGGTCACTTAAAATATGCTTTTTATGTCCTATGCATGACTCTGTTCCAGCTTTTCCGAAGGCTGTGACAACAAAAGAAAAAAAGATGTTCCTATGATTTATATATAAGTTAGTATCAAGCTAGCGATTCTAACGACCCCCAGACAGGGAAGAAGCTTGCATTGGCATTGCCCTTTAGTACAGTATATTAAGACAGAAATTGAGTTTTACAAAACATTTTAATTTGTTTTCCATATTAGTATTGATAAGGAAACATAATAGTTATATTAGCAATATATTAATCTTTCCATTACACCTCACCCCTATCATTTGATGGGTTTGATATATGGCAGTAAGTAAGCTATAAGTTAACCAAAGTACAGTCAGGGAATAAGATAACAGAGGACCTTTGGTATCATTACCGTATTACGACTCCATATTTGGAGTATTTTTTGCGAACAGTTTCCTTGTCCGAGAGATGTTACGGTAAGTAACATAATAAATGGTGAAGAAACATTAATCAATTTGCACTTTGATCACAGGTTGGACTCTTAAACAAGGACATAAATAGTTGTGAAAATCAAGAATTAGCACAACACTTCTTACAGCGATCAACGCAGGTACTGTTAAAGGTACAGTATGTGTAATGTAATGTTATGTAGTATTTCTAAAATATGCATAACACAGACTGTATAAAATAGGATTTGACACCTGGTGGACCTTCTTTAATGTTGGAATTTATTTTGTGATAAACCTCTCAATAATGTTAAGCTGGAAAGAACATTAAGACAATCTAACAGTGGACGAATTATTCTCAGGCAAATTTCAGATTTTGGTGGATAGATTTATCACGTTTAAATGACTTTGTGTGTATGGGATAACATTATATGTGGTATTATGTATGCACCTTTAACATTTAAATGCATTTTCTTTCTCACAGAAATGTTATTCCACGTACTTTTGTCATTGGTGGTTTTGGTTTCAGTGGAAGACGCTTCCCTTGCAGCTTCTACTTTACAAATAGGTAAAAAAACAACACATAACATCAAATGCTTGTGCATGTTTCTTCCCTAACATATGTATATTTCTGTTATCGAATTTATTTATTGTTTAAAATGTGGCTTTTTCAGAAGATGAAGAGCTCACCCACACAGAAGCCATCAGAGATGATGAGATGAGTCAGAACCTGACCAGGACGAACTTTGAACAATTGGAGAAACTGAGCAACAGGTCCAGATATGTAGCGAGGAGCTGTAAGGAGATCCAGGACAGATATAATGAACATGAAGGTAAGCAGGCATAGCCTTTTGGTTTATTTGTGCAATATATGAAAAGGAGAAAAAAACGAACTTGTCCAATGGAAAAATAAATTAGATGAATTCAACGTGTACTGTAAAACTTCCCTAGAAGACATGTTTTAACTCATATAAACACTGACATTTCCAGATGGGTTGTACTTCCTGACCACTGCTAATGGCATGGTCTATCAGACTTTCTGTGATATGACCACAGCTGGAGGCGGCTGGACGCTGGTGGCGAGCGTCCATGAGAACAGCATCTATGGACGGTGCACAGTGGGAGATCGCTGGTCCAGCCAACAGGGTAACAATGCTAACCTACCAGATGGAGACGGAAACTGGTCCAACAGAAACACCTTTGGAGCAGCAGAGGGCGCCACCTCGGATGATTTTAAGGTATACGGACAGAGACGTGCTGCATTATTATTCTCTCTTGACCATTGACAAACACATTGCTGAAATGGGATTTCAAAGAATCTGAAATATTTGAATATAAGTTGTTTTTCGAAAACAACGGTGGAATAGTAATTAGTAGCATGGTCCAAGGCAAGCCAGCTGTTACAATAAGAATTATTATCTTAACTGAACTCTTGTGTGTTGAGAGTGTGTCTGCCTCCCAAACAGGAGTTGGTTCCATAGCACCACTTGTCATAATATATCACTTCCACAGAATCCAGGCTACTATGAAATCAGGGCAGAAGACATGTCTGTGTGGCACGTTCCCAACAACTTCCCACTGGAGCACTGGAACCTGGCAGCCATCCTCCGCTACCACACTGAGAACCACTTCCTCCGCCTGTATGGAGGAAACCTCTTTCAGATGTTCTCGGTAACTTGTGTAGTTGTTTTTGTACTTTTTTACTTCATGGCATATTTAAAAGCATGAGTTAATACTTTGTAAATTCAAATACGTAATACAAAATATAATTAACATGATGTCTTATTAAAGATTAGGCAACATGGCAGTATATATTTTCTAAAATGGCTTCCAACTACAGTAGGCCTATACCTTTACAACCGTGCACCGATCCACAATTGTAATCCATTTATTTAACATATATTGCTACTTTACAGGGTAAAATATTTGACTACGACTACATACTGTATATTATGACATTCTTCCAGCAATATCCAGTAAGATACAACGTTGGCTCCCCCAGCAACAGAGGGCCAGCAATTCCCATTGTGTATGACCATGGAGACAAAGAGTCCACCAAAATGTTATATGGACCCAATCCAAGAGGTAAAACTCTAATATAGTGGAATGGAGATATTATAGAGCTTTTCAACCATCATGTATGAGCATGTATATCACTAATTACTTGAATTACTAATTTGATCAGATTTCCTAAAACAATTAATTTATACATTTAATCAAAACACAGGAATTATGAAATCTTTAACATACAAGTTTAATAACAATGTTATCCTTGAATGACTAAATAGAAGACACCAACTTACTAAACAAAATGTGTCCTGCTGTAATCAATTAATTAATTGTGTATTTTTCCTATTATAAGGGGAGTTTGAACCAGGTTTCCTCACATTCAGAGCAATAAACAATGAACGTGCAGCCATGGCTATCTGCTCCGGGGTCAAGCCGGTCCGTGGATACAACACTGAACATGTGAGTCTAAACCCATTTTCTTCTATTGTCTGTCAACACAGCAAGTGTTCAGAATCAGAATCAGAATACCTTTATTAGTCCCACAGAGGGGATATTAACATTGTTAGAGCAGAAAAGAACCAAAGACAGCTTAATGTTACCTAAGAAGCATGCATAAAAAAATATTAAAGATTAAAAAATGATAATAAAAAATACACATCCTGTAACAAATACTTACACATACTGTTGCTTCTGTGTGTCTCCAGTACTGTATAGGAGGAGGGGGCTATTTCTACACTGATCAGTGTGGGGACTTCCCATCATTTGACTGGGACAGATTGGGAAGGGAGCAAGGCTGGAGTGCCTCCAAAGAGATGACTGAGGCTGCTGTTTTACTCTTCTACCGCTGAGAGGACTATTTGCTGATGTAGCTGAGACCATGTTATAAATAACAGTTTTCACTTTACCCGGTTATAATTTAGATTTTTCTTCTGTCTGAATGAATATTAGATTAAAATCAATTAAGAACCATACTCGTGCCTCTTACAGTTTTTTTTAATTGAGCTGCATTCCAGCAGATGGTATTTTAAATGCATTTCCAAATACTTTTTTTATTGATTTAGAGTTCATATACTATTTTTTCAGCATTGTATAGAACAATTTACTTTTATTCCACTGGCTGTAAGGTAAGTTTTGTCCATGAGGGTGAGATTGATTATAAAAAAAGTACATTTTATTAGTTGCACATATTACAGCTTTTATCAAATACAAGCTAGTCTCATCCACGTTTGACTTGATGAAGTTTCCACTGAGACCATCAGGTTTTTATTATCATTGAATATTTCGTTTTTTATTTCAATTCAGTAGGAGTCTCTGGGATTGAAACATTTGCAACAGCAAACATTTGATTATTTTGAACATAGTAAATTATGTATAAGTTTGTAAGAAAATAAAGTTATTATACTAAGCATAGCATTGAGGGTGCAAAATATTACTTGTTAGCAATTATAACAAAACCATTTTTAAATAAACTTGATTTCAATAATTTTGATAAAAACAAAAAACAAAGATGTGATAGTTCATCTCTCAGTACATTTCAAAGTCTCTGCTATGTCTGTGCTGTAAAAAGATTCAAGTGAGGAGAAAGCCATATTGTACATATGCTATAAAATAAGAAAATTACATTGAAAGGATAATGGAAGATTACCGTCCACATTATTGTGCTTAGCTTTATGACCCTTTCTTCAGTAGTTGAGGGGAACATTTCTGACTTGGACCTCTTTGTGTGACAAAAAAGCAAAAGTGAGATAATTGTGAGGTAAATATTGTGTTTAATAAACAAACATCAGTCAGGGAACTGACATTAGTCTGGGGGTGGAGAACAGGGGAATATAAAGCACAATGCACATGTGTAGAGGTGGGGGGACGTATTTATCTGTTACACAAGGTGCCCCCGTACGTACAGTAGGAGCAGGAAGTTCTATATAACATACAGATCAGGATCCAAGTCTACGGTACAAAAACTTAGCAGCAACATGTTAACATCGGAGACCAAGGGGCTAACAAAGTAGTTTCATTTAGAAAAAGTCACAGTATTCTTTAAGCATAAATTTGTTAAAAAGGTAAAAACAGTTCTAGGCATCCTCTAGGGTCAATGCTACTCACAAGATTTGTGTGAAATACATAGGTAGGGAAATTATCTATACATTTATACTCTAATATAAAGACCTTCTGGTAATGGCACAGTACAAACTCTCAGGAAACGCGACAAAAATATACAATGTCTTCACGTCACATTTGCAGATTAAAATGTAACTAAGGTCTCTGGCAAGCACAATAGTTTCAGTGATCAAAAAACAACTTCTCTTCAACCAAAATAAAGGACACCATTTTGTTAGTTCAACTATCTTGACAGATTATGTCTTTTTAATACAAAAATAAGGACAAATATAAATTAATATATATTAAAAGATCAGATTGATACATCGGGGATCTACTGAATAAGTACAGGTATTTATGATACAATAAATACTTGTCATTCATGACTGGGGGGTGGATAAACAGAGAGTATATTTAACCTGGCAGGTATTACATATGACTCTTAGACTGGTGAGAGCATTTGTATGTGTGTGTGTTGTTCAGTAGCTGTAAAAAATATCACAAGTTTGAGCGCAGCTGTGAGTATGATGGTGGACACAGTCTCAGAGGGTTCAGAGGTCTGTTGAGGGAGACTGCAGACTAGTGGTGGTTTCTTGTGTTGAAGGGGGTCGTCACTGCCCGCCATCTCCCGTGCATTTATGCAGCTCCGCATAGTGGTGAGTCTGTGGTACTACCAGTTAAGGTTACTCCTAAACACACAACTCACAGACAGGAAGCAGGAAGTCTACAGGAAGCAGTTAGCCGTCAGTGACCGGTCAGTCCTCCAGGGCAGAGACAGTGTGGCACACCATTGGAGTCATCGTGACCAACAAAAAGAAGTAGACGTAAGGGAAGAAAGTCATCTCTTGTGGTTTTTTTTGTCTTTTTCTCCACTTCATAATAAAAAATAAGTCTGTTTTTGTACTTTACAATACAATTCAACATCCCCACCGAGGAAGCATCAATCATCAGTCCAGCACTGATACAGAAAAGAAACTATTTTTTAGTTGTTTCTCTTGTTTTTTGTGTGCCTTTTTTTAAGGGTTTTTAAAAAAACAGGGGTGGTTGGGGGAGGGGACTGTGGAGGGTGAAGGGTTTTCTCTCAGGAGGATTCGGGACCTTGGACAAGGGGTACGAGGATCAAGTAATGAGGGCAAGAACATAAAACATATCTGGAGGGGAGGAAATCTGCCAAGGGTGATGTCTCTTAATTTTTCTCTTTTTTTATGAGGAACACTTTGTACAGCCACATTTGACCACCTTTTCCACTTCCTGGACAAAAGAAGAGCCGTCAGTGCACTGGAAGGTGTATTTCCTGCGTTTGCTGCGGAGGGGGGTGCAGCAGGTGCCCTGTCCTTCTGCTCCCCCCGGGCAGCTGCCCCGACACTCTAGGCGGGAGACCTTCTCCTGGGTTTGGCACGCCGCGTAGCCTTGCTGTCTCTGGTAGACATCTCGGATCCGTTCCCCTCTGCAGGCCACCTCTGCAGACATGCGAAAGAAACACAGGGGTTACAGGATATCCATGCTTTCAACGTTCACTTGACAAAAGGGATCTAAATGGTGAAAATCTATCACAACATGGTAGGAGAAATATCCTATGTTAGGGGCTTACAAAGACACATACTGTACACACCAAAGAATGACTTGAATAAAATGACACACAAATAATTCCAAACAGTTACATAATGTGTCAATAGACTGTAGAAAGGACAGGAAGATGACAGTAAAATAAAAAAAGTGATGAATGACATACCTTGCTTGAAAGAAGCAATAGAGAAACACTTTATGAAAGTTTTAAAACTAACATAACAATCAGGCCACAATACCCTGGCCCTAAACGTTGAACCTGAAACTAATTATTTGATAAATCATTTGTATCTTACATTTTGAAATTTAGGAGCTAACACGATATAAGGTCTTTACACATTCATTAGTCTGCTTCTTTTTGTACTATTAAAATAGGATATATCCATGCAATTAGTTCTAGTTAAAAATAAGTGCATTATCTTACTATGATAAATCCAGACCAGGGCCTGGTTAACTTCAAAACAGTTTAATTGATTGTCTATCTAAAATGAGAAAGAACAAATTGTTCAAATACATATTTTAAAGACTTTTCTTTAATTGTCCTTTTGCTTAAGACGAAAAATAAAAAGTAAGCTACTTTAGCTGCATGTTGCACGGGGTTAAAACAAGGTGAAGTAGGGGGCATTTGGTGGATGTATTTTGGGTTGCATTTAGGAGGAACGAAGGAAAGAACATTTTAAAAAGAGTGCGACAGTAAGATGTGACCGGGCAGCCTCACCTGAGTTGTCCCCCGTGAGGGATTAATAGGAAGCTCAGGAGATGCTGAGTTGAAAAAGCAGCGGGTTAGAAGCGTTAATGCAGAGACATTAAACACTCTTAGAGACACACAAACACACTGTGAGAGACTATTGTTGAGAAGAACAGAAAGCAAAGAAGAAGCTTAGAGGTTAAGAGAACCATGCATTAGATTAAAAGCCTTCCAAGCAATATCTATTTTCCTTTAGAAGAATGAGAGTAGTCAGGCACAGGTACTAACAATACACAGACACACCCATCATAAATGTGTATCCCATCCAAACATGTTTTTCTCACCTCTGTCGCACGCGTCCCCTGTATATCCGCTGTTACACTCGCAGTATGCCTTCCCCAGGCCTGACACTCTACATTTGCCATGTTTACAGTGTGACATACTGCAGGGGTTAGCTGTGTCCTGGTCCTGCTCGTCGCAAAGTACTCCAGCGAAACCAGGCTGGCAGCGGCAGGAGTACGAGTAGGAGTTGATTGGAAGGCAGGTGCCATGTATACATCTGAGGATGGAGAAGGCAAAGACAGGAAACATTAATGAACAGATATAACAAATCTAAACCTGGTACTCACGGTTGTTTTAAAGGAATATTTCACTTCCATAATGACTATATCACTTTACCTCAGCCACATCATAGACTCTATGCATTACATTAATGCACACAATGTTGACAATATTGCTTACTGCACATATTTTATATTCTATAATTGATTGCATTCAATTTCAATGTAAATTACTGCTTTATTGTATTGCTATCTTACTATATTTGTATTACAGTGTTACCTAGTCAAATTCCTCGTACATGTGAACCTACCTGGAAATAAACCAGGTTTCTGATTCTGATTCTGATCAATTACTCGCCCCATGTTACCAGGAAATCATTACACTTTCAGGTAACACAGCGTTTAGTTTATATTTAAATAGTAAGGTTTTAGCAGACATGTGTGTGTTTAGGAAGTAGTGAGCATTAGCATTCTTTATTCACTGTGGAGTCATGGGAGAAAAGACAATATCTCTTTAAGAATTCAACCACATTCCTTTTGATAAAAAAGATTGTTCTGGGGTTTTAATGTTGCTTTAAACTCATACCAATTCTGTCACCACCAACACATAGACACAAGGGCACACCCAACACTCACTTGTTGCCATCACATGGGTTGTTGACTTGCTCGTCGCACACTGTTCCCGTCCAGCCCGGGTGACAGGTGCAGGTGAAGCCTCGATGTCCCGTCGGGTGGCAGTCGCCCTGGACGCAGGCCCCTCTCTGACAGGGCTGGCAGCCTGGCTCCACCCCTTGGCCCAGCCACTGTCTGCTGGTGCTCTGTGCCGCTGTGGAGCCCAGAGCCCCCGAGCCCAGCCCGGCCCCCAGGTCCTGGAGCTTCCCGTTGATGTACAGGTTACGGAGGCAGCCGTGGAAGCTGGTGCCGTTACGACCACCTGAGCTGTGCTGCAGGGACGAGGGACCCCCAGACCCTGAGGCACGTTCTGGCATTCCTGGAGGAAGAAAGGATTATAGAGATTAGAACCTAAACTTTAAAAGCTGCAGTATATCTAAGTATATGAAAAGTAAATAAAAAAAGACATGAACTGTCATTATAAAGTTGATTTAGTGTGTTCCAACAATAAAGATATATCATAATACTATGCATTAAATAGTAGAACTAATCTAATCTGATATTTTTCTTGGGTACTAAAACTCAAGTCAGCCACTGATAAAAGGGTGTATTAGTTTCTCATTAGCTTTCTTTGAGACAAATTGCTGTACCTTGGTAGTGGAACAATTAAGTATTTATCAAGTGTTCTGTCTTTAGTCATTCACACAGACACAACCACCCACACACTCTCTCTACTCAGGTCCTCACCTCCAAGGTAGAGTGGAGAATCTATGTTGAGGGTGGACTGTTTGCTGAGGGAGTTGATGGATTTGGGCGTCCCGCCGTCGATTGACAAAGACAAAGTCTGGTCTGACGCCACCAACTCTACAGCATGGAAGATGCCATCATTCACTGTCTCCACACTGAGAGGGAGAATATAGAGATTGTGAAGGCAGGTGCCATGTTGTGTGTCTGAACATTTGTATCATCCATCATGTGAATGTGCCAGTTGGACATTTCTGCTTGTATGTGCATGTACCTGTATATAGCGGAAGGAGGGTATGATCCTGTATCGTAGCTGACCCTGAGGCGTCCCCTGTACAGCTCCATGGCAATGTGATCATTGTCCCCTTTATACAACAACACGCCACTGTCCTCATCTGTAGCAATCTGAAAATAATGGGGATTTATGGTTAAATGTTGATAAGTACAATGCATAACTACAAAATAAATGTCCCGCATTCAAACTTCTAATTAGGTTATCATCAGCAAAATGTTTATAAACCTGCAATAACTACTCTTTTTCCAGCTTGGGGTAATAGAGCATAGGGATTACAAAAAAAGTACCAGCTGCCTTTGAAATGAACATTGAGAACAGTGAGAGCAAACCAAAATGGCCAAGTTGTCACCGTACAGCTAAACTGGATAAAGCTCTGCAAGAGGGGAGCTGCAGATTCAGGAGAGCCCTTTCTCATATTGTCATTTGATACATTGTCATCATAGACACTTTAATTTACACCATGTTATAAGCTTAGTGAGAATTAACTCTTTTGTGGACCTGCCAAAAATGCAAATGTCCCGAACCAGACAAACAAGGGTCGCCAAAAACAAACATCTAAACACTGAGTGGAAACTCGGTATGAATATCTCACCTGCAGGCTGATGTTGGTCTCTGGTGAGAGGAGACTGGAGGGAAGTAGCAGGTAGGACTCGCGGTTGACAAAGTTGACACTGACGAGCGTTTCACAGCTCTCGCCCTCGTAGCCCTGGAGACACTGGCAGCGGGGGTCTGTTCCCACGATGACACACTGCGCCCCATTGAGGCACTCGTGGTTGTCACAGGGGCTGGTGCGAGGAAGGACCATCGGAGGAGAGTACTCACAGAACAACCCGCTGAAACACACATTCATACAAACAATCAATAAGTGTGCCTTTTCTTCTACTACTCTTAATAAGGTTTAATTAAGTATGAGTTGAAGTTGAGCAACCTATAACCAAAGTACTCCTTTTCAGAGTTATACAGGTTTTAACAGCCTAAATGTGACTTCTGGCTATTTATTATATGTATATATATATATACACTGAACTAAAATATAAACGCAACACTTTTGTTTTTGCTCCCATTTTTCATGAGATGAACTCAAAGATCTAAAAAATGGTTCTATATACACAAAATAACCATTTCTCTCAAATATTGTTCACTAATCTGAAAAAAATCTGTGATAGTGAGCACTTCTCCTTTGCCGAGATAATCCATCCCACCTCACAGGTGTGGCATATCAAGATGCTGATTAGACAGCATGATTATTGCACAGGTGTGCCTTAGGCTGGCCACAATAAAAGGCCACTCTGAAACGTGCAGTTTTGCTTTATTGGGGGGGGTCTGAAAACCAGTCAGTATCTGGTGTGAGGGGTAGGGTTAGGGTTAGGGTTAGAGTAATGTTGTGAATCGAGTGGCCCATGGTGGTGGTGGGGTTATGGTATGGGCAGGCGTATGTTATGGACGACGAACACAGGTGCATTTTATTGATGGCATTGTGAATGCACAGAGATACCGTGACGAGATCCTGAGGCCCATTGTTGTGCCATTCATCCACGACCATCACCTCATGTTGCAGCATGATACTGCACGGCCCCATGTTGCAAGGATCTGTACACAATTCCTGGAGGCTGGAAACATCCCAGTTCTTGCATGGCCAGCATACTCACCGGACATGTCACCCATTGAGCATGTTTGGGATGCTCTGGATCGGCGTATACGACAGCGTGTTCCAGTTCCTGCCAATATCCAGCAACTTCGCACAGCCATTGAAGAGGAGTGGACCAACATTCCACAGGCCACAATCAACAACCTGATCAACTCTATGCAAAGGAGATGTGTTGCACTGCGTGAGGCAAATGGTGGTCACACCAGATACTGACTGGTTTTCGGACCCCCTCGGACCCCCCCAATAAAGCAAAACTGAACATTTCAGAGTGGCCTTTTATTGTGGCCAGCCTAAGCCACACCTGTGCAATAATCATGCTGTCTAATCAGCATCTTGATATGCCACACCTGTGAGGTGGGATGGATTATCTCGACAAAGGAGAAGTGCTCACTATCACAGATTTTTTCAGATTTGTGAACAATATTTGAGAGAAATGGTTATTTTGTGTATATAGAAAATGTTTTAGATCTTTGAGTTCATCTCATGAAAAATGGGTGCAAAACCAAAAGTGTTGCATTTATATTTTTGTTCAGTGTATATATTATTTATTTATTTACTTATATCCATCTATACTATTGTTCTCTACCTTTACCTAGGTAGAGAACTTACCTTACAACACCTTATTCTTGTTTTTCAAAATAATTTTGTTGTCATATTGGGACATTTTTTAGGTCTTTTTTTAGACAAATTCTTTTTTTTAAGGAAAATTCCGTATCTGAGATTTTAAAGTTAAAGAAATGACAAGCTAAATTGTTGGGGAACCAAACCTTGAACTCACAAACATGAAAAAAGTACTTAAAGTAGTTTATCCTCCCAACAATCATTACAGTAACTGACAGTTTACACAAGGGGGAGCCCCTTCTACACCACTCACTGAAAAATCATATACTGTTAGCATAGTGTAAGTCAGAAGCCATCTCTTTTTTAACAAGCAGAAACATTTAATTTAATTTGTTTACCACATTTAAAACATTGTTTAAGTACATTTACATGTTGCTAAAAGGTCACTGATTTAACTATTTAAAGCAGCATTCAAGGTCAGCATGGCAACAATCTTTACATGCAGGTTTCTCCCATTTTTTCCCCTTAAACTGTGGGTTTTCTCTGGAAGTTTTTCCTTGTCTAAGGGTAGAGGGTGTCGTTTTTCTCATACTGATATTCTGAAAAATCTGTGCTGTTGTATTTGCTGTAAAGTGTCTCTACTGTAGGCTATTTTTATTTTATGTACAGCACTTTGGCTCGACCAAAAATGGTTTATAAATGTGCTATATAAATAAAACTTGACTTGATTTGATTTGATTTGCACTGCCCAATACTATTGCAGATACTGTTGGTCAAGAGAAAACTACAGTGATACCATCCTGTGATGCCGGTATGTGTGCCTCACCTGTATCCCTCTGGACAGACGCAGGTGTACCCGTTGACTGCATCAATGCACTGCCCTCCGTTCTGACACTTGTTGTCCTCACAGTCATCGTAGTCCAGCTCACAGTGCTCACCCACGTACCCTGGAGTGCACTCACACCTGAAAATACACACGCAAAACTGTAATCCTTCAATTGAACAGCGGTTCCTTTTGACTTAATATACAGACAATATGGAGGGTTAACATAGCAATACCAAAAAACACTTTTTGAGATGCCTGGTAAAAAGGTTATAGCATTATTCAGTTTATCAAAACAGGATACACACATAGAGCCACTGACCGTCCCCAGTACACATATCACAAGGGAGTAAAACTAAGATCTGATAAGATTGTAATTGTGAACTGCATGTGTGTTTGTGTGTGTGTGGTGCACTCACTTGTATCCCTGAGGGGTCAAAATGCACTTTGAGTCGTGCTGACAAGGGTTCAGGTCTGGAGCGCAAAAATCCAGTTTCTCTTCACATAGCTCCCCTAGGATCACAAAACACACACACACCTTTTTGTTATTTTTCATTAACAAAAATAATAACCAGTACATTAAGTGAACTGATTACATATAACACATATTATATTAAACATATTTCCATTATTTGCCACCCTTTTGCATTGTTTTTGCATCTAAGTATGATTGAGAAGCTCTGTGTGTGTATATGCAGTTCCACATAAATCTGTACTGCCTGCTAGGAAATGTGTGTGTCTGTGTGTTGTATCTGTGTGTACTCCGATGATGGATGACTCTCTTGTGGCCAGTACCAACACAGTGGTCTGATAAATGATCTTATCTCTGGGAATGTCATATTCCTGATGATATTCCTGCGTGTATCCCGACTAGCTGAAACTGTGAACTACGACCAAATTGCTGATGAGGCCTGAGGGAATAAACCAATACTCCTGACGGCACAAAGAGCACTCTGGGAATAATTACATGATAGTTGGGGATCAATAGGTACATGTTTGAAGCGATTTGAGATGCATGTTTGTGCTTTTGAGACTTTATTTCAGTAGCAACAGTGTTACAGCAATTATTTAAAATCCTCACATATTTTATAATAAACCAGTGGGAGTATGCATGTCCCAGGCTATTAATTTTAGATTGCATCTGTGAATGGCCTTAATAAAGAAAACCCAGCTCCCATTAGGAAAACTGATGAGTTGGATCAAAAAGACTGTGACTGCGTGTTTATCATTCAGGAGTTCACTAGTAAAAAAACTAAAAATGTTAAATACATGTGGAGTAGAGTGGATGGATAATGCAGATTTGAAGGCTCAGATGGTTTATTTGTAGTTGCTGTTTTGTATCTTATTTTACTTAAAGATGTACATTATGTATCTTTATATTCTATGTAAGAGTAGCCTACAGTATGAGGCTGTTCACCAAACATGCAGTAGCTGATTTAGCCTTAAGAACAGTCTTAAGGTGTTTATTATTATTTAGATGCAGGCAACAGAATAAACATAAAAAGGAAAAAAAAGATAAAAAGAAAAATAATATAAAATCACTGGACATAAATATACACTGTTTCCACAACCCATGTTAATATATTAGTAGTAGACTAAATATGTAGATAGATATGTCACTATATGTACAGATGTCCATTTTCACTTGTCACTTTAACTCATTTCGTACTTCATAATTGATATGACCAAATATGTATATACAGTATGCTGATAGTTATTTGACTCATCTCCTATTTCATAGTCTTTTATTATTATTATCATTTAAAAAAAAATTCTTGATTTTTAAATTTTTTTTATTAATCCGTGTGAATCTGTGCTGTCCTGTTTTTCACGCTTACCCTGTTGCTGCTTGTACAACTGTATTTCCCCACGGGGTTTAATAAAGGTCCATCTTATCTTATCATCTCAACGTTCTCTCCTTGTGAGACATCAAAAATACAACTCAATAAAAAAAATGAGGCTGTCCGATAATATTCAATATTTTTTAACAAATATAGATGATTATCAACAAACAACAAAACTCCTTATTTACACTGCACAACAAACACAATAACTATAGCGCAAATAAATGAATTAAATGATTGCACTCACATTAGTGAATTAGTGAAAATGTGTAGCATAAAGGTCATACATTTGGTTGAGTGACCCAGTGTCATATAATGACAATAAATAAACATTTAATTAAATGTAGGTTTATCCATCACACATGGTCCTGCTGCCAGAGGCAAGCACACCAATGGGAAAAATAGCCCCCACCAAATGCTCTCAACACTAGAGTGCACAGATGGTAATATTGGATATTATTGAGCCCCTAAACAATGAAAGCAAATATTTGTGATCTATTTTTTAAAGATTTATGTCTTCTGAATAAATAAATGGTTTGGGAGTGCCATAGACAGGCAGGGAACTGAAATATATTGAGAGATGGAATAAAAGTAGTCTACGTTTGTCTCTAATGGGAATCTTTACAATAACACAATCATAGAATATCACCAGCGTTCTGCTTTTATGTCAGAATCTTTGCCTGAAACATTATAAAATATTATTGACCTTGGCTTAATTAATTCCATGTATGCATAAACCAGTGAGCAGAACAACTCCAGATATTTGAGAGGATCATTTAAAAACTGCGGTCTGTTGACCAGGAAGCACATGCACTTCTAACATGGAGCGAGATAGAGTATGTTACATCTGTGGATATGAAGACCAAAATGACTGGTGAGCGGGGATAAAGCAAAGGAAATGAGGGAAGGAAGCAAAGGATTGAAGGAAGGAAAGAAGGATAGAGGAAGAGGAAGGACAGAGCGAAGAACAGACTAACCTCTCTCCACCTCATTGGTAGCAGCTGCAACCACAAAAGAACGACAGATGATAGAAAGCAGAGCCAGACACGAAAAAAAGACACAAGACAGCGAGACAGAAAGACAGAGAGAGAACACCGCCACAAAGGTTAGCCATCAGAGATGATTAGCACAGTGCAAAAGCAGACAAACAAGTAGCAACAGACCCGTGTTAGTAAACAGAATATGAACATGTCTGCAGTGTGTCACTGTTTAAAAGCCTGCTTTTTCTGAGTATGTTCCGCATGTTTCATTGGACACACTACGGTTAAAATGTGGGGGAAGTTGGAAGTAAAAGTGCCATGTATTTTTCCCATAGACAATGTGAAGGGACTCACAGTTTGAACACTTCTACAGCTCAGGTACACATGAGACCACCCACCTTGATTGTTATCAACCCATTGAGTAGTCATTACAAGTTGACCACTAATGGTACAAACAGGGCAAAAATGGACAAACTGCATGTAAAAGTGGAAGTAATTGGTTGCAGTTTTAAACACGTGATTTACATAATGATTTAAGACATACAATGAATTGGGTAATAACTAGATATAACATAAGTTAGAATAGGCTATATTTTGATTTCTCACAGGAGAAATTCCTGTCTCTCCTGTATTGACCCCGACATCCTCTCTATTGAATGTTAGCTTTTTATAATGTGGTAAATTGCTTTTTCCTTTGCTCGCGGCACAATTATTGGCATTCAGTCTTATAAGTCCAAGTCATTTGGTATTTGTTTCCGTGATTAAACATGTTATCATATGAATACGTCCATCCAAACCGTTTTGATAGATGCAGCAGGCCCCTAGTTATCCTTATAAATGAAGCTGAAATGGATGATTTATCACTGATAAGTGTCACCCAATGGCCTGTCATTATTGGAAGCATGTTTTTAACTCATTAGAGCAACAGATGTAAAATGTATTAGAACAAATCTGGTTCTCCAATAAAACGTCAAAGGCACAAGCTTGTTTGTACATTAAACTTCAAAGAAAATGTTATTTACAAATCCCAAAAGGTATTTGGGCAATAGACATCCATTACTTTAAGTGACCATGATAAGCTGAAGATTGAGGTCCCTAACGCCTATAAGTATTGTGGTATTTTGAATCATTAACCATATTGAAATAATGATGGACAAAGAGGATTCTGAGAGACAAATTTGAAATCATTAAAACTGTTGGGAATAATAAAAAGTTCAATATTTCTTCAATGACAAGACATTTGATCTGGGAAAGCGCAATGGGAAAGTTACCTGTGTATTCTGCTGAGCACATGCAAGTGTAGTTGTTGATTCCATCGACGCAGGTGGAGTTGTTCTCACAGTCGTTGTCTTCGCAGTCATCGATGTTGATCTCACATGCGTCGCCTTCAAAGCCCTCTGGACACACACACCTGAGATCACACAGAGATACAAACATCTGTAAGCATGTAGGGCCGCATACAGAGCAATATCAACTGGATGACAAAGAATCACTCACACATTATCCATTCATGCAGCTCGTAACAGCAATGTCAGCTCCGTATACATATTCCCAGTAGAGAGTCATAATTCTGTTAACGGGAACGTGCCTCAACTCTGTAACTACCACTCAGGTTTATTACTGCGCGCACTCACACACAAACTCACACACACAGACACCGATCGGTATATTATAGGACTAATAAAGAGCTCTTATGCGGCACACACTCGGGTGGATTAATATCTCATTAAATAGTCAACGGCAGCTCTTCACGATAAATGTTCAACCCCTGACGCCGAGAAGGAAGAGAGAGTGAAAAGATGGAAATACAGAGATGGAGAGAAAGACTGTTATGAAAAGTACCAGAGAGGGATTTATCTACTGAGGGTCCACAGATCACTAATGTGTGCTTAACAAGTGGCTTTAAAAAACCTTTCTACAGAGCAACAAAAAACATTATAGTTTTTAGATAGTTGAGCAGTTGTTCTTGAGACAAGTCATCTGATATCCATTTAATTTTTTTTTGGAAATCCACTTGATTGAAACCATAAAAGACACATTCATCCGTTTTTTTTTCTTTTATTCAATAGTCTCTTACCAGAAGTTGCTCTCTTCTCCTTCCTTCAGGTGACAAGTGCCTCCATTATGGCACGGGTTACTGATGCAGGCATGAATGGGCTCCTCACAGTTTTGTCCCTGCATGCAAACAAACACAAATACACTTAGTGCCTCGAAATAACTTATTTTAATGCCGGTATTTGAATTAGGATTATCTCATCCCTTTGTGATAAAGAGAGACCCTTGCGCCAGATAATTTTGGCTCTCCACACCATGTGTACCTTAAATCCAAAGGGGCAGTTGCAGCGGTAGTAGTTCACTGGGTCGTTGGAGCAGGAGCCATCATTCTTGCAGGGGTTAGACAGGCAAGGCTCACATTTGGCCTGTATATTCATATCTACAGGACCTGTGTGAAGCAAAGACACACACACACACACACACACACACACACACACACACACACACACACACACACACACACACACACACACACACACACACACACACACACACACACACACACACACACACACACACACACACACACACACACACACACACACACACACACACACACACACACACACACACACACACACACACACACACACACACACCAGAGATAAGATTAGCTTCATATAATGTTCTTTATTTTGGGATGCAAGACAGGGCTGACAGGTTGACACTCAGACGTCTGTACATGACCAGGGACCCACAATAAACCTTGTATCAACTCAAGCCATCTTTTTGTGCCGGGGAAAAGATGGGGATAATACCCACTTGCTAATTTGTTTATTTGACCTTTCACCTTGAATTTTAAGACAGTGATAATGAAACATTGTATTTTTAAGAACAACATTTGTAAATACATTAGAAAAAAATCAACACAACCAGGAATGTAAGCACCTTCAAACTTGCGTGCAACCATTTTTAAAAGTTGAATGGATATGACAAGCAAGACTTGCACAAATGTTACTGGCCTATGAATACATTTTCTTTGCAGGGCCATGACATGTACAGAGGACACACTTATGCCCAAATCTCAGACAGGACATTAAGCTCAACAGTTGGGACACAAAACTGAACAGAACATGAGGGCTGAAAGGGAAGCAGAACAATAAAGATTTGTAGGGCTCAAAGGACGAGGAAAACTGGGCCGGGACTGTCTTGAGGAGCTGGGGTAGGAGAGACTGAGGACAAATGACTGGGATATGATTGGCTACTTTACCTGGCACCAGAAAACCACAAGGCCCCGGGACTTCTACAGTGGTCAGTTAGATTAGGTTGAAAATAGGATTCAGTCATATATTCAAAGTTAATGTTATGATAAGGTTTAAAGGTTAACAGTTAGTAGTAATTTGCAGTATAATATGTTGTATCCACAATCATGCTCACAAGCAAAATCTTGTGATTTTAGAGCATCATATAAATTAAAACAACAATTTGTCACAATCAAGTGAAAACATCACTGACAATACACAGATTTATAAAAGGCAACTTGTGGTCTCCTCTGGGAGTCCTCATCAAGTGTGTGTATGTGATGCTGCATAATAATGTTCTGCAAAGTATGTGTGCGCATGCTTTTGTTCAAACACCTAACAAAATGCATTTGTACAATGTGTCTATTATAGTGAACATCTGCTGACATGTGTATGTATCCCTGAGCTACAGTGCTGTGTCTATATGACAGTGTATGTTTACCTATGCAGGTGAACTTCTTGGAAGGTGTTGTGAGCAGCAGTTTGTCGGTCATGTCACCAGGGCCGGTGCAGCGGGCGATGCCAGGCTCCTTGTAGCCGCTCTTCACCCAGTCTGACAGCCACTGCATGTGGCAGTCACAGTACAGAGGGTTGGCCCCCAGAGCCCTGCCAGCCAGGGAGATAGAGGAGAACAACGTTCAGACATAATGACAGGAAGGATAAATTAGAACTACATCACAGATCAGACGTGCAGGAAATGAAAAGAGAGTCAAAATCAGAAAGGTCGCGGTGTTAATGCTTACCATTATGCGTGCACCGTGGTACATTTCTACCATGAATAACTTAGACTAGAGTGAACGTTGGCCGATAAACTTAAAACACGTCACATCAAGTGTTTCCTGATGTTTTACAGCTCTGATAACACACTCTAAATTCAGGTCCCTACTATAGCATTGAAATCGCACTGGGATAAACCCATTAGCATCATCTCGAGGTTCTAATAGAGGGTAACAGGTTGCAGAGAGGCCTATCCCGGCCGGGGAGTGTGGAACGTAGTCACAGACCTACTCCTCACCTTTGACCAATTCCAATTAAGGTTCCAGTGGGGACCTTTTCCCTGCGTGTGCCTCTCCACCTCTGTTTCCTACCTCTTACTTGCTACCCTTTCCCTCAACCTATCCTAAGGGAGTGCATGTATGTAGACACGTTAGTTTAGCTGCTATAGGCTTGGACTGTCGGGGGGGGCACCTTACTTCGTCTTTCTGTCTGTTTGTACCTGTGTACTCTCATGTTCCGATTAACACAGCTTCCCCCAAATCTCTTTTTTGTGTCCATATATACGCAGGGATCCTGAGTCGAGGCTGATCCTGTAGCTGTGGTCGTGTGTCCTGGATCCTCTATCCTGAGCACTGGATCTGAGTCCTGGACTTTGAGTCGTGGCTGAACCTGTCTCTGCGGTCCTGCCAGACTCTCATCATACTACTTCCCTGATGGCTCCCACAAGATTGCTGACATCCTCGTGGATTCATCTTCCTATTATACACACATGCATTTCCAAACATTTGGACTACCTATGTTGCAAATGTATTATCTTTTCAATTTACACACGGCATCTATTGCACGTCTGTCCGTCCTGGGAGAGGGATCCCTCCTCTGTTGCTCTCCCTGAGGTTTCTCCCATTTTTCCCTTTAAACTGTGGGTTTTCTTTGGAAGTTTTTCCTTGTACGATGTGAGGGTCTAAGGACAGAGGGTGTCGTATTGTCATACTGATATTCTGTACACACTGTGAAGTCCACTGAGACAAATGTAACATTTGTGATATTGGGCTATATAAATAAACATTGATTGATTGATTGATCTGCTTTATTCATGCTCACCCATGATCACCAAACAGCTCATTCATTAGCTACTTGGCTACTATCTGGCCACTAAACAATAAGTATTTTTTGTTGTTGTTAGTAAATATACATGTAGCATATTGGCTTAAATCTATTATTTGGAAAATAAATTAATGAAATCTCATTGACTCATTGTCATTGATTGGCTCATTGACAACCAACAGTGTCAGCACTGATGTGTGTGTGTGTGTGGGTGTGTGTGTGTGTGTGTGTGTGTGTGTGTGTGTGTGTGTGTGTGTGTGTGTGTGTGTGTGTGTGTGTGTGTGTGTGTATGTGTGCGTATTGTGAATGTTTTCTTTATTATTATGACTTGCTCCTTACCTGTATTCAGTGATGTCGTCTATTGTAAATATGTACATTTATTTTGTATAACAATGTAGTGGTATTTTTATTCTTGCTTTTAGGATGCCTATCACCATCTGGCAAAGGGACTATCGGTGAAAACTAGCCTTTTGGCTAATTCGAATTCATTTACATGTTTTTAATATGTTGATTAATGTACACTGTCCCTTGTTTTAAATAAATAAATTCAATTCAAATCCAATCGTGTGTTGTAGCTTAGAAGAGTGAAGCATTTAATAGAGGAGTAAGGCACTAGAATACAACCATATATATATATATATATAGAGCAATCTTTAATTTCAATCGTGAATATTAAAGAAAAAAGAGAAGAGCAGGAGAAGGGAGATACAGTAGCTGTAGATACTGTAGGTTTGTTGCTCAGTTACTTCTGGCAGCCTTATATATTCACAGAGACTCACTCAACATACATTTTTCTTTTAAACCATGGGGATAGGCTCTTTTGTCATGATAATGTGTTTTCCTTATTTTGCAATTTCATAAGGTTAGTAGGTAAACACTTCCATCCCAGAGAAAGACGTACATTGTGATGTGTGTCTCTTTATGTTACTCACAGGTGGGAGAGCGATGACAGGTCTTTGAAGGCTCCCTCTGGTATCAGTGATATGTCGTTACCATGGAGAGACCTAAGAAAGGGCGAGAGATAGAGGAAGAAAGAGTGAGGAAAAGGCTCTGGATGTTGAAAGTCTAGCTTCTTTAGCACAGGTTTCTGAGTCATCGACCACACTGCATGTGTTGTGAAGGATACTCACAGCAAACGGAGAGATTTGAGTCCATCGAACGCCCTCACTGGTATGCAGCGCAGGCGGTTGTAGCTCAGGATTCTTTACACAAAAAATAAACATGTTGGAGTTGAGACAAATGCAGATTTCTTTTTAATATAGCTTCAAATGCAGCAAGGCACTTCTGAGCAAAATCCTTTTTGTAACTGCATACTACTGAGTTAAGCAAGAGAGCAATACACACACATTTGAACACACTTTGTCAGCATCAAAACAGTTGGAAATTGGAAACACACACACCCACACAAGCAAACATCTTGCACTCAAGGTGAGAATTGTAACATTCATTACACTCATTGACTTTGTAATATCATTTCCAGTAACACGTTTATACAATCTACACGACAGACTTACTAGTGTATAGCTGCTGTTTCCCTCCCCAACTAAAACTGATTAAACTATCTTCCAATCCTTGATCGGTTCATTATATTTCTTTCTTATTTTTTTATTAGTTGTTGTTTAATTTGTGGCTTTGTTGTGACAACATTTTCAACAGCTTATGACTTTATACCAAGATGCTTTGTGATTAGAAAAGGCTAATGATGCACTGGGGAAATAAAACCTCATTCATGGCTCCCATGGGTTTAAGTTTACGTTGTCACAGACAAAATATCTGTTCTCAAAACTCGACTTTGATTTCTGCTTGAATTTGGTCAAGTCCAGTTTTTCACTGAGCATTCGTGACACACACACACACACACACACACACACACACACACACACACACACACACACACACACACACACACACACACACACACACACACACACACACACACACACACACACACACACACACACACACACACACACACACACACACACACACACACACACACACACACACACACACACACACACACACACACACACACACACACACACACACACACACACACACACACACAGCAAAGGGACTGTAAAGCAGACTCACAGGGTAAGCAGCTCGGACATGTTACTGAGGCTGTGGTTGGACAACGTGCTGATCTGGTTGTTACTCAAATCACTGAAAAGGAAACAATAGCAGATACATAAACCAAACCCAGGCAGCATTGTCAACACATGCTTAAACAAATGCATATACACACACTCAAAAACGATATGTACTACATATTCCTTGGACAACACTAGGTCACATGAAAAGTGATTCAATACAGAGCTCGGATTCAGTACCAGTCGGTTAGTTTTGGTCTTAAGAAGCAGAGTGCAGTGGAAACAGGAAGTCACGATCCTCATTCACGATCCTCAAAATTGTGTTTGACTGAGCAGAACTCTGACTTTGTGATGTGAGTGTAGGTGTGTCTGCCGTGGTCATGTGGGGTGAGACTTACATGAGTGTTAAGTGTTTGTAATCGGAGAGCTCCACAGGAACCTGAGTGAAGTGGTTGCCATCAAGATACCTGAGAAACAGAGAGTGGGAGAGAGACAGAAAGAAATAGAGCGATAGGGAAAGATGGATAGACAGAAATATGCAAGGTTGAGGAAGATTGGGAAAGTGAGAGAGAAAATTAGAAGGGAGAAAATTGAGTTATTTAGCCATGTAGGAAATTCCTCATCTCCAGCAGTGTGAGAGTCATTACTGCTGCAGCCATAATAAACACTGGAGTTTAATATCCCCGCATGCATCTTATACGTTTTATCCAGCCTCGCACCCACAGCTGAGATCATATTCAATTTGTGACAATGGGCCATTAATCCAGCATATTAATGAAGTCTTTTTTAATATTGGACAAAGCACATTTCCCACAGGTGAAATGGTGAAATAAAATAAAACCTAGCCTGCTGTTTAATTTAAAGTTATAATTTGATATACATCAGGGATTTTGTGGGTGTGTCTTGAGATGAGTTCTGGAATAAAATCGCTTATGTGTACCTATGTCTCCATAAACCTGGTTTCTAAAACTTCACGCATCATCTGACTGGGTACAGCTTTAGTAACATAACAAAATAAGCAAGATGTACAAGATAAAGTTTTACATTTTCGAAAGTAGACAACTTTGATGCTTCCTTGGGGGCAAACTTAAACAAAAAAAAAGTGTCTCTTTTCCAGACTTCACACCAGACTTAAGACTGCATAAGTATTACTGATGCGCCTACACATCCTCCGACCTCCGTTATGTCTTCACTGTCCTCAGAGCCAGCTGTCCTGTCAGCTGCACAGCTCCTGAGGTGCTGACAGGACAGCAGGTGGGCTTCACCGGGTAGAGAATATTTACCCCTTTTATTGTAGCTATAAAAACCCAAAGTGAAACCAGAGAAACTTTTATATCAATCATCACAGACATAGGTTTATAATGGGAAATTGCAGTGCTGCCTATGAGATTACATTTCATTGACATCCTGGGAAAAAAACAAGTATGTAGATTGATTTTAGTTTGCATCAATCAGTTTTGCCATGGATTGTACACTTGTTAAATTTGAAACAGATATCTTGTAAGTTATTACTGTAAAATAATATATTATATATCTTCAAATGTTGTGTTTTCCAAATTACTGATCCTTTTTCTGTTTACGTGTTGAGAAAATGCTCATACTTGCTACATAAACAGAACAGTACTGTTATTGTTTAAATCGAAGTACATTTTCTTGGAGATAAAAAGGTCTAATCTAAGGTTTGGAAAGGGAGTCATCTAGAAGATCGGACTCTTTTCTCAGACTAGTTATAATTATTTTGTGTTGGTCTCACTCACAGTTCGGTGGTCTCTTTGGGCAGGCCTTTGGGCAGCGTGTTGAGGCCCTTGTTGCTGCAGCGCACCACCGTGTCCAGACAGGAGCACTCTGCGGGACACCTCAGCACTGGGGAGCAGCTGTTCTCGTTGTTACCTGACCAAAGATGGATGGATAGGAGGAAGGATGGTAGATAAATGATGACGGAAAATTAAAAACACATTTATTTTGGAGCTGCAGGTGACGCCATCTGTAAAGAATAAATATGCTCCATCTTACCATCTTCACAGGCAAAATCCTGGGCAGCTACATCCTGGATGGGGATCTCCTTCAAGAAATAAGGATTCTGGCAGCGAGGGTTACCCGTGACGATGCGTTTCCTTCTGAGCCAATCACCGAGCCAGGCCAGGTGACAGTTACAGTTAAAGGGATTGGCCAGAAGGTTGCTGGAGAACAAAGAGAGTATGAAGGGCTATTTTGTGCCTGTGTGTGTGTCTTTTACATTAATATGTGTGTGTATGTGTGTGTGTGTGTGTGTGTGTGTGTGTGTGTGTACTCACAGTGTGGACAGGGAGTGCAATGTGTCGAAGGCTCCAGGGTTCATGGAGGTGATCTGGTTGTCGTAGAGCGACAGCAGACGAACGGAGCTCAACCCCACAAAACTGCTGTTACTCACACAGCTGATACGATTACTCCTCAGCATACTGCTCACACACAGACACAGAGGGACACACAAATGATTTAATTTCCTACTTTGAAATACAAATTATATAGATATTTTCATGATAATACAAGCCATGTAAAACATGTTTGTTTTACATGTTTTTGTGTGGTCAAATTTGAATTCTGCACACATAATTTATAAGATCATGTGAGTGCGTCTGCATTAACTAAATGTAATGAGTGTGTGTGTGTGTGTGTATACCCACAGTGTGCGGAGGCCACCGAGTCCCTTCAGCATGAGGTGGTGTACGTTCTCCAGTCTGTTGGAGGTCAGGATCAACTCGTTGACCCCGGAGGCTCCTTCAAATGTCCCCTCCTCTATGTCAGTGATACGGTTATTGCTCAGGTTACTGCAAGGAAAGTTAAGAAGACAGTAAAAGAGAAAAGAGTTAAAAAATGTAGATGAAGAGAGAGCATGAGGAGGATAAAAACAGCAATAGGGAATCGTTCTAGTCAGAGTACCAGTTAGAGGGAGTAGGGTAAATATAGACGAATACACATGGTTCAATTTGATTTCTGTGTAAAAACCCGATTACAATCACAGCTTTCTCTGTGTGACCTGAGTACTGTTTCCGACAACCACATGTGACTCTTTGTTCCCGGTATGTTTGCAAAATGTGTGACTCACATCTTTCTCAGCTGAGGCAACTTTTTGAAGATCCCTGTCGCCTCGAGCACAGTGAATTCATTGTTGTTCAGACGCCTAAGAACAGAGAAGAGAAGAGGTGGTCAGAGACAAAAAGAGAGAACAACAGAACAAACGGAGACAGAAGAGGAGGAGGGAGGAGATCGAGGTTGAAGCAAGGTTTCCTCTATACCACACACAGATAGACTTTGTAGTAGAAAGCTACAGCGTGACTCACAGTTCGGCGGTGTACTGGGGGATGTGATCTGGTATTTTGGTGAGTTTCTGGTTGGAGCAGTCCACCGTGGTGCCCTCACAGCGGCACTTCTCTGGGCAGGCCAAGTCGGCGAAGCAGTCCCCTCCAAGCTTACTGCGGTAATCTTCAGTACCTGATCACAATCACAATCACAACGTCACCGAGTGCCCTCATCGTGCAAGAGTCGAATCCCAGCGTTTACTGGTATGTTCCAACATAAACACAGAGCATGGCTGGAGTGACAGTTGTGATACAAAGGAAGCATTTCAAAACAGTGCGGAGGGGCTAAGCTGCTTTTGTTTTCAAAATTGTCAAAAAGATCCAAACATGTTCAAAAAACGTTGGCGTTCATAAGTGTATGCAACATTCCCCATGAGCTACTGTATACTTCAAAACACTGCATTTGTATCAAAACCAAAACGGAGCCACGATTACAAAACACACACACTGAAAATACATGTCACACACGCTTCCACACAAACATAGTTTCTTTTTACAGTCCCATCAGACTACAAAGCAACTGTTAGTGTTAGAAACCACAGCACAAACAAGACAGCATCAATAATTTAGATCATAGCAGTAAAATACACACACACACACACACACACACACACACACACACACACACACACACACACACACACACACACACACACACACACACACACACACACACACACACACACACACACACACACACACACACACACACACACACACACACACACACACACACACACACACACACACACGCACACACACGCACACACGGGATGACAGGAGATTACTGTCTCTTGCGTCTCGGTCATGCTGTAGGGTTTTGCAGGGCCGTTCCATGGTGCTTGACGGAACCATGTTCCACTTTAGGAACCTTGCAGCCACATGGTTAGATCAAGCACAAAGGAACAACCTGCTGACTGACTGCTCCTCCGCTGGATCACGGGGGCGGGAAGGACAGAGGGAGCAAGGGAGACGGAGAGGACGAGGTTAAGTAGAGAAAGAGGAAGAGGAGAGTGTTGGAGGAGGAGAATTAGAGGAGAGGAGGAGAAGAAGAGGTAAGAAAGGAAGGAAAGAGAAGAGTGGTGAGAAAAGGGAGAGGAGAAGAGAGAAAAGGACATGCAAAGAGAAGGTAAGTTTACACTAAGGATATGAAGAGGAAGCCATAAGGGTGACGGCTGAGGAGCAGGCTTGAGGAAATGAATCCCTTATATTGAAGTTAGAAGGGGAGCAACAATAAGGAGGAGGAAGAGATCAGACAGGGTGGAACGTAGATTAAAGAAAAAGCAAGGGAACTGGACAGCAATAGTTAAAGACATCTAAACTGTCAGACATCATACAGGGGAGCAGGAACAGAGCAGCAGCTAGAGGGGAGTGGGAGGAGAGTTACAGCAGCACTGAAGGCAAGAGAAGCCCTGACTTCGAGGAACACACACATACATGTTTATCATCAAACATGGACACACACACATCATCACACACACACAAATGAAGAGAAGATAATACATATATGAACCATTGAGTAATAAAATGTAGGTCTTGGGAATTGTGTTGTTTGTAAACAGGTAAAGGAGTCACATAGGGGTCAAAGGACACTTTGGGTGGTAGAGGTCAAAGGTCAGTGTCTGGAACAGGGGACAGGAGACGAGGGACTCGGAGATGACGCAATTTTGCGTGTGTTTGTGTGTGTGTTACTTACAGCCGACATGTTGATGTACTCCTGAGTGTGTGAGAGAGGCAGTAGGAGAAAGAAGAAGATTTAACTCGTTTATTTGAACAGGAGGCGGAAAAAGGGGATGAAACCGGGAAAACAATTCTGTACTTTTTTCGTGTTTAGTCCTCAGGCAGTGTTTCATTTAAAGGGGTAATGACTCGTGAATAGTGAGAATCGTGCTGGAATAACATGACTTTTGGTGGGTGCCTTCATCCAACACACATCCTGGGCTCCTTTGCTTGAAGCACAACTGATTCAAACAACTGATTGGTTTGGGGAGGATACGAAAAGCACACATAAATGTGCCATGCCTATAAACAATAACATTTAGCCAGCTTTAAAGAATTCGAAACGCAAAGCACATTCATTTTTTGTGTATTTTTTTAACAGGGAGGAAACTGGAATGAAATAATTGTGTTTATACCAATAATGTAGGATTAAGGTAGGATCCAAAATAATATCCCTTGTAATAGTGCTGATACAAGGTGCGATACCGGGGTTGTTTCACAGAATAAAACATGTTTAATCAACTTTTCAACTGCAATGTCTTAAATTATTCAGCTTTGTAGTATTTGGGCTTTGAAACCTATGTCCCCCCCAGTGAGTTAATGAATGTAGCGAGTGCGCACGTGCACACACACACACACACACACACACACACACACACACACACACACACACACACACACCCTCTGTGTGCTGCTGTGGTAATGACCGCCTTTAGCCCTGCTACTGATCTCATATGCATGTCTGATTTACATATTTCCCAGCACCCCTCTGCGCATGGTAACTGCGTGACCTTTTGATGTTCTGCAGTGGGCGAAACAGACACAGATGCTCGCGGACACACGCTCATACATTAGCTATCATTAAATGTAGTAAGAAGTGGGGAGGACTGACTTGATTTTTCTTATCAAGCTCCACATTTGTGGAATCAGCTTCCAGTTTGTGTTCGGGCGGCAGACACCCTATCCGTTTTTAAGAGTGCGCTTAAGACCTTCCTTTTTGATAAAGCTTATAGTTAGGGCTGATTAGATTCAGCCCCTAGTTTTGCTGATATAGGCTTAGTTTGTCGGGGGACATCTTACTTCTTCCTTCTCTCTGTCTATACCTGTGTACTCTCATGTTCCGATTAACCCAGCTTCCCCAAATGTCTTTCTTTTTGGTGTCTATATACGCCGGGATCCGGAGTCATGGATGATCCTGCGCTCCTCTGTCCTGGATCGCGAGCCCTGGATCTTGAGTCCTGGCTGTGGTCCTGGATCATAGGTCCTGGATGGATATCCTCGTGGATTCATCTTCCTATTATACACACATGCATTTCCAAACATTTGGACTACCTATGTTGCAAATGTATTATCTTTTCAATTTACACACGGCATCTATTGCACGTCTGTCCGTCCTGGGAGAGGGATCCCTCCTCTGTTGCTCTCCCTGAGGTTTCTCCCATTTTCCCCTTTAAACTGTGGGTTTTCTCCGGAAGTTTTTCCTTGTACGATGTGAGGGTCTAAGGACAGAGGGTGTCGTATTGTCATACTGATATTCTGTACAAACTGTGAAGACCACTGAGACAAATGTAACATTTGTGATATTGGGCTATATAAATAAACATTGATTGATTGATTGATTGACTGGTATCAAATATAGTCTCTGTGATTGCTGGACCAATAGACTTTGATTTATACAGATTATACTATGTAGCGTTAAGCTGACATCGAACTAAGTTTATTAACTCAATTATTTTCCTCCTGCTATCGTGAAGATGCCTAAAAATCCCCCCAAAAAATCCTAAACCTAGAGCAAGGGCAAGAGGGTGATTATCAGGTGCCTGGGTAAACGTGATGCATTATGATGTATGTTAGACCATTCAAAGAAATTGTCGTGGCATTCAAAAGGTGTCAGTCAAGGCAAGTCACTCAAACAAGTGTTCAGAGTGTGTGAGTGTGCAGCATCAGCCGTGATGGACCAACGAGTGTCTTGCACACACACACACACACACACACACACACACCCAAGATCACACACACATGCTCGAAGTACAGTACCTGGGATGAAATACTGTTCTCTAGCTAATGGAGAGGGCAGAGACAGAGAAAGAGTGAAAATGAAAAAAGCAACTAAATAACGAAAGGCTTGTCCAACAGAAAGTACTTACTCTGTGTATGTATGTGTGTGTGTGTGTGTGTGTGTGTGTGTGTGTGTGTGTGTGTGTGTGTGTGTGTGTGTGTGTGTGTGTGTGTGTGTGTGTGTGTGTGTGTGTGTGTGTGTGTGTGTGTGTTTATGTGGTTAACTCAGAAAGAGAGATGCCAGAAAATGCTGAAAACAGGGAGTTGAGGTTAGTAAAGAGAGGCTGAGGGAAAATCCCAGCTGGAAAACACAGAATGAAAACACAGGAATGTAAATCAATCTGGATATTATGTAGGGCTGCCCCCACTCTGTCGCTCTTATAATTTGTTACACTTTTCTCATGCTGAAAGACTTATTTCCAAGAAACATATAAAGAAAGCTTTTAAGTAGTGCTTTGGCATGATTCTCTGTTGATTAAATCCACTAATCCATTAGTTGACAACATAGTTTGTCTTGGAGGACTACATTAGTCAGGGACAATTATTGTGTGTCTGTAATTATATGTGAATAATTAGAAACATCAATAATCAATTATCTAAAAAGACCAATGTGTTTTGCGATGCCACATTTGTTTATACCTGAGCAGCGGAACTTCTTGCTCTTGATTTGTCCGATTCGTTTGTTGGCGAGGCGTCGGGGGCTGGTGCAGCGGGCGCCGCTCGTCTCGATGGGATTGTCCTGAAGGTAGTCTGCCAGCCACTTCAGATGGCAGTCACAGATAAACGGGTTCTGGGCTAAGTGACTGATGACACACACACAGACACACAAGTAAGCTGTCAGAACATATATTATATACAAATAAATCAACTGTCAAGAGTCTTAAGCATACATTATGGACCTGTCTTTTACATGGAGACTGTCCTTAAAGGGAAAAAAACGTAATTGAAATAAATAGGGAGACGGACACTTTCTTACACAGTATCTAACTGATTTTAAGATAATCAAAATAAATGTTTGGTGATAACAACATTTTTTTGTACAGATCCTTTTTTTTCTGTGATGCTTCAAATTAAAACATAACGCATTTTGTTTTTGTCTATAGTTGCACGTTTTATTATATCTTCAGTACTGCTTAAAATATGACACTAGACTGAGCTGTGTGTGTGTGTGTGTGTGTGTGTGTGTGTGTGTGTGTGTGTGTGTACGTACAGCGTTTGTATGGCTCTTAGTGATGAGAAGGTCCCTTTGGCGATGGTTTGGAGCTTGTTGTCATATAGTGAGAGAAGGTTGAGGTTGTGGAGGTCCTGAAATGCATCCACACGCAGACACGCTATCTTATTAGCATTCAGTAACCTGAAGAGAGAGTGAGAGATGTGAGAGAGAGAGAGAGAGAGAGAGAGAGAGAGAGAGAGAGAGAGAGAGAGAGAGAGAGAGAGAGAGAGAGAGAGAGAGAGAGAGAGAGAGAGAGAGAGAGGTGGGGAATGACAGTTTATCCTGTTATCTTTCTTCAATGAGTGTTTAAAATGTTACAGGTCGTGGCTTTCAATCACAATGTCTCCACTCTGATGACAGTGTTTAAGGTAGGCACTTTTCAGCAGAATATCAATGAGATGCTACCCGCTACTGTGTGTGTGTGTGTGTGTGTGTGTGTGTGTGTGTGTGTGTGTGTGTGTGTGTGTGTGTGTGTGTGTGTGTGTGTGTGTGTGTGTGTGTGTGTGTGTGTGTCTACTCACAATAGCTGCAGAGAAAAAAGTCCCTCAAACAGTGCTTTGGAAATCTCAGTGATCTTGTTCCCGTATAACACCCTGTGGAGCACAAACACTGCATTAATAAGTTATGAATAAGACCACACACACTGTGCAGTACTAATGTTAATATCACCCGGCATACTCTGAAAAACATTTTTTGCACTATTTTCTGTTACCAGCAGATATTTAAGTACCTTTTATCCAACATTACATTTATATTTTGTTGGTGCTTAAAAAATGTGGCTCCAGTAAATATTTGACAGTGACATTAATGTCAAATTCTCGCAGGCTATAATTGCAAACAGCCTGTGGGAAAAAAGGCTGTAATTCAGGTGTGAAGAATGTCTTATTACAATACTTCCTCACATGAAATGCCCAAATCTGCAGCAAATTGCCACTTGTTACATTCTTATTCAAATCTGATATTAACACTAATGAAAATGTTCTGGTTTCACCAAAAATGTTTAAAGATTTTCAAGATAAAAATAACAAATTCAGGCTATTTATCTGTTGTTACTGCCTATGTAAACATCTTTGATAAAGGCTTTAACACAGTTGAACAGTTAATTCATTTCTGCCAACATGACGTGAATGCAGTACAAAACTTTAAGGAGTGGGTCTTTGGCTTTTTATTTAAAAGAACACATACATATTAGAGAAAAACATTAAGACCTGAAAACCTTCCTTTTTTTTCCTCATTTGTCTTCCAAATGCCAACCCGTAAAAACTCTATGCCTTTGCGCCAACACCTGATAGACGGTATGTTAACACCACTGACATAAAGTATAACTAGTTCTGAACAGTTTTCATCTAAATGTCACAATAAAAAAACTCCCCCATAAATCTGGCTCCAGTGTGAGTAATGCACGTTGTTATCAGAGAAAAGCTTTTTATAAATACATCAGATTACATACACAAACAGGTCAAGGCTGAGACTGCCACTGCCTTGCCCAACAAATACCTTGGATGCATTTTCACACACACACACACACACACACACACACACACACACACACACACACACACACACACACACACACACACACACACACACACACACACACACACACACACACACACACACACACACACACACACACACACACACACACACACACACACACACACACACACACACACACACACAGGAAGAGCTATCAGTCATCTTTACACTCCACGCTAAGTTGAGCTGTGTATGCAGGCAGTCTAAAAACATGTGTTTTCGATTGGCTTATATTTCATTGTGCTGAGTGGCTGTCCCTGAGAGACCTGTGGTTGGGAAACACACGATGCACTTCATTTATGTCTCACAGACACATTAGCACATACTGTTTTGCGTGTCCACACACACACACCCATGCACAGACAGAATCGATGGCATATTTACGTCCTCTCTAACCAAACCCTGACACACAATGAACACACATATCATACTTATGTAGTGTGTCAGCATGATGTGTGTGTGTCCCATTCTCTCTGTGGTGAATGTGTAATGAGGTGGCAGAAGCCTCCATTCAGCAATTCAGCATTTATGAATTATTGACTTTGGAGAGACGAGACCTTAATATAACTCCTTTATGAAATAACGCTACATCCCTCACTCCCTCTCGTCTCTGTGTATGCTTTAACATATTTTCACACGCAAAGTCCGATGTTCTTCTCAAAGTGTATTTGAAATGTCTCTATAATACGGCACAAATAATAAGGCAACAATAAAGGGTTATTTGAGTTATCGTAATTTTGGAAATGCTGCCTTTAGATTTGGCCAATATTGCCAGCCATAATAATAAGAGGAACAATTCAACAGGGTAAGAAACATGAACAGTCAGGTGTTCAAAAACAAATCTGTGCTTAATGTCTTTTTCATAATCGTTAATCTCTTTTTTAAATGTCAGAAGGATTTGAGGACGAGATGGGAAAATAAATGTTAAGTTAATAAAACCATAAAGGCATTAACATTATTCAAAACTCTGTTTTAATGGTTTTAGCATCTGATTCTGCAACAAAAGAACTCTAACGTGTGCTTTAAGTGGTATGTATTCCTCCTGAGGAAGGGCCATATTGTGGTGTTTTGTTAAAACTGCATCCTAGATACAAACATATCACTCAGTACTCACAGAGAGTTGAGGGAGCGCAGACCTTGGAAGGCGTCTGAGGCTAACTCGGAAATCTGGTTGTTACTCAAGTCACTGTGAAGAACAGAGCCAGAAAAAAGAAACAAGAGACAGCGAGGGAGAGAGAAAAAAAAAGTTAAACATGGAGGTCAACACAATCAGGGCAGGAACAGAAGTTTTTGGTTGACAGGGTGCAAAATACATGAATCTCTTAATCTACTCACATCCTGCGCAGCTTCTTATAAGGAGAAAAGGCTCCAGCTGGGATCACCTTGATGGCGTTCTGCTCCAGTCGTCTGGAACCAGAAACATACACACGGACCATTGAGGAGCGACATTAACATTTGCTTATCACAGGGCTATCTCCGCTCTATCTCTCTCTGCTGCTCATTCCCGGGGGCTCGGGCTAAAGTGGAACATTTCCCAGATAATGCGCTTTGAAGACAGATGCCAAAAAGTCAAATGTCTCTGATCTTTTGCTCTCTTAACATGCGTGCGGTCAGAAAGACACACAAACACAGGGCCTTAACTATCTGGGCAATGTTCCACTAAGTGCCAGTCTGACTCTGCATCAGTCGGGCCTAAACAAACACAGAGAAGGAGATGAGCAGAGAGAGGAGAACAAGGGGGTGAGAGGAGAGAAGAGAGTAGAGAGAGGAGAGATAGAGAGAGAGCGAGAGAGAGAGGAGAGGAGAGAAGAGAGAGAGAGAGAGAGAGAGAGAGAGAGAGAGAGTAGAGGAGATTGAGAGAGATTGAGAGAAGAGGAGAGAGAGAGTTGTGAGAGAGGAGAGAGTGAGAGAGAGAGAGAGAGAGAGAGAGAGAGAGAGAGAGACAAGCAAAAGAGAAAAGAGACCCAAACACCCCCGTTCTCCAAACATTTCACGTGTTCAATCACTGTGAGAAGACGACGGTGGAACATGATTTGCAAACCAACCATTCGATTTGGAAACATTTCCCTAAAATTAGTTTGTTTTTCATTTGTTCTTCTCTGCCATTTAGCTTCTCTCCTTTCTTTACTACTAACATATTTGACCCAACACACAGGAGGATTGTATTTCATTGTATTGTATTGTAATGTATCTGTTTTTCTTTTTGTTTTGTATTGTATTCTGTCAATAGATATGAGTGCAATTCATTTGTGAAGTCTTAAATTGAGCCAAGGCCTGAAAAATCATCACAAAAAGATCTAAAAAAGTACATGTCAGGATAAAATCATTAAACTATAAGTCAAATCACAAGTCTGGTCAAAGCATCAAGTACATTCTCAAATCCACATAAAATCTTAAAGTATTATCCGGTCAAGTCTAAAGGAATTTGAGACAAGTTCAGCTTAAGTCTTCCCACACGGAAAGAAAGTAGAGGAACATATATGCCAATATATGGCAAATATATGCAGAATATATGCTGCATATATGTCATATTCAGGTTCATATATGTTCATATATGTGCATATATGTGGATTAATAGGAGATATATGTGTCATATATAGCTCATATATTTCCACATATATGCCCAGTCAGGTTCATATATTTGCATATATCTCCTACATAATGCCTCATATATAGCTCATATATCTGTCTTTTTGCATATATGTCATACAGAATGCCTACATATAGGTCTTTGCAAGGTAATGTGGTAATGTCCATATTATTCCAAAGTTCTATATAACTACATGAATTAATCATTGTACTTATTTCCATTCAATGCAGATTGAGGTTTGCGGATTGCCCAAGACAATTCAATGTATAAAGACAATATTGTTTCATTACGGTATGTTTTATTGTATGAAGCAACATTTTTAGTTTAGTTATTTCACCCAGGACCGGAACCGGATGTTTATATCCGCTCGACGTCAGCTGATCAGTTTAAGATTAGTAAATTATTAAATATTTGATAATTGTACATTATTGTTAAAAAGTTAACGCGTTAATAACGCGTTTTTTTAACGCCACTAATTATTTTAACGCGATTAACGCATACATATTTTTTTTCCTCGGCCGCCCCGTAGTTTCAGAGCGCATCGAGTTTAAAATACCATCTACAAGCTGATGCTGACAGCCCCGCTCCTGCTGCCCGCTTGCAGCAGACCACACTTCCACGCTCACCGGCAGGCACCGACTGGCTATTGGGAGGACCGGGAGGGTGTGTGTATGTGTGGCCCAAGCGAGCGAGAGAGAGACCTTACGTGTATTGTTGTTGTTAGCATCTGGTGCTAGCTAGCTGCGCTAACGGATATAAGGAGCTGTTTAAATGAAAACAGAGGAGCGACATTTCGCCGACAACTGCGCCGAGCACTTGACTTTATGCAGGAAGCCAGACAGTGGGACATTGTACGAAAAGTCAGCACACTCAGCACGGATAGTGCGCGCAACATGATTGCAGCGTCCAGGCAGCTCCCGTTCGAGCATATGCCTTGAGTTGCACATAGCTCCAACGATCCATCTCACACACACACACACACACACACACACACACACACACACACACACACACACACACACACACACACACACACACACACACACACACACACACACACACACACACACACACACACACACACACACACACACACACACACACACACACACACACACACACACAATTTGTATTGTATGAGAGAGGTTCCAAGTTGAATTGAGGCGAATATTTGTAATGTTCAGAGGTTGTTGTGTTTAATATTCATGAGAATATTTGTCATTGTTCAAATGATAATAAACACACATATAAAGCATATTTGTCCACTCATATGTTGATAAGAGTATTAAAAACTTGAAAAATATCCCTCTAAGGTACATTTAGAACAGATCAAAAATGTGCGATTAATTTGCGATTAATCGCGATTAACTATGGACAATCATGCGATTAATCGCGATTAAATATTTTAATCGACTGACAGCCCTATAAAACACATTATCTGAACCACAAGTTTTCACTAAATGTTACCTTTAATTGCTTACGTTTTTTTATATTATTAGAGAATAATAGAGACATTCGCTGCAGAAACGTCATAGAAAAGCGCCACTCACAACGAGCGCGCATTCATGACGTCATCCCCTGTTTATTTCAACCGCTCGCGGATACAGGAAAACACAACAGACAGAACAAACATACAAATTAAATTACATTAATGTCACCATGTGCACGTTTGCCTTGGTGGAGTGGACAGAAGGTATAGTGACAAGGGACTTAGGAGCATTCTGCCGATTGACTGTGTTCGAGATTTTCATGAAGAGAATTACTTGAATGGCGACGAAAAAACTCCTGAGGAGTTTTTGGTGGAATGGCGCCATGGACGCAAGGGAGCTAATAGACAGTGGCCGGTGTATCAAGCCAGGATCATCAAGGTTGCAAGTATGTACACGCTATCCATATTTATTTAGCTTTAGTAATGAATTAAATGAACAAAAGCCTGTAAACCAGGCAACGTTTTCGGACCAAGGACCCCTTGGCTGAGAGAGAGAAGAAGCAGGGACACCCACTACATATTGTATACAATTGTGTTGTAAATTAAACATTTTCATAGATTTCTTAGACAGCTTCATAGACTTTGACAGCACTAGTAGAGGGATGCAAACTTGGCCCTGAAAAATGAAAATGATCATTTGAAAGACCTCATAATAAAGCGTAAGTATTATTTTATTGCAATATTGGTTTAATACAATCGGATAGGACTTTTCTGTTTTGTAAATGTGCTGTCAATGGACCGTGTTACAACTTAGATGCAAATAGCATCCAAGTTGCTTGCAGCTATGGTGATCTGATGATTTTAATTGGTGTGATTTTATTTTTTCCCTTCTGTCACAACCTCACACTAGATATTCCTCAAATGAAGGAGGACATTGCCTCGCTTGCTGGAAGAGTAAGTTCCTCTTATTTGTATCACTTTATTTTACTTGTTACTTAATCAGAGGAGGAGATTTTTATGATGTTAGGCTGATTAGGGCAATTCACCTGCTGTTTGTATTTTTAATTGTTCAAAAATTATAACATACTGTCTTCCTTCTCTAACAAGTATGCAGCAACCTCAAAACAATTGCAGGTGAGTAACATTTTTCTTGTTCTAAGGATGCATATTTTATGGTGTGACTCTGTAGGAGGCAATAGTCTACAAATGTGTGTTTGTCCAGGGCTAATCTCATCAGTGCCACATTTTTCATTGCCAACAGGCCAAGAACCTCCGCTTTCACATGTGTATTATATCATAATGGAAATCAAATCAATGGACAAAAACCTTGGACAAATTAGTCATATGTCATAGAAAGCTAACTACAAAATAATTTCATCCCCCTTTAATTCATCTTGCTTCTCTTGTAAAAAGCCTCAAAATACTGTGGCAGCTGCAGAGCCTCAGAAGAAGCAGCCTGGTGATGACGATGATGATGGTGGTGGTGATGGTGGAAATAACAACAAAGTAAGTAACAAGTCAAAAATGTATCTATAAGCTCTCAAGGCGGGAGGCGGGAAAACATATAGATTGGATATTTTTGCTATTTGACATAAAACAACGTATATAAGGTTATTTGTGTCCATATTTCCCAGTTATTACCACTGTAAAAGTTAACCGTATACATTTTGTCATGTCACTGTTTAATTTCCAGATCCATGGAGAGAGAACCGAAGCTCCAGAGAAAACCGAAGCCCCAGAGACAGTAAGTAGATGCATATTCTTAAGGTATAGGTTACATGAAAATGTTATCTGGACAGTGGTTATTTTTTTGATGGGTAACTGCAAAACTGATGTATTGCCGTGCGTGCCCATGTTAGATCAAGTTTAGGACAGTGATTTGTTACTTTAGTGCCTTTATCATTCTTGTGCAGTAGACAACTATTTACTACTGATCTATACAAACTATGTTAGTTTGTATAATGTTAATTAATAATCAATTGTGATATTCCATAAAATATATTTGTGAAAGTTGTAGGCCTACTAATACATTTATATGTGATGTATTTTTCAGATTGAAATTGTGAAGGGGTCAGGAGTCTTTTGCAAAAGAGATGCGTGGAAGGCATCCATCCATACCACCTCTGGCACAGCAATGGTGCGAACTCTCCTCCTCGGCACATTTCCCCTTGAAACCCTGCTTCAGAGCAAACTCAACGGTAAAAAAAAAAAAGCTACTGTTGAAAATCTCTTTAAATCAATCCTGTCATTAATAAAGAAAGGCAGTTTACACATGTGTTTTTCTTTCTAAACTGATTCACCTAAGAATGGAAAAACTGAACTATTTTCTTACTCTCTGTTTTCGCTGCTGCAATTTGTTACGAGTAATGTTTTTTTTTACAATTGTCCCACACTCTAGCCCAGTGGTTCTCAAACTTTATCATTTCAAGGACCCCCATAACTCAGAGTGTATGTTTGGAAAACCAAATGTGTATGGGTCTATTTGGAACCCCCAAGGAACCTTGAGTGTCATTTGTCCCTGGACAACCACTCTAGCCTAAAGTGTGGGCCATTAGTATGTACACATTAGCTGCTGCAGATCAGCAGGATTACCCACTTTTCATTTGCAAAATAATAATTATGAAATATTACTTTAGGTGGCAAGCCAAAGCGAGGTGATGGGGAGCAGCTGGAAGCCCTGGACCCAGGAAAAAAGGCGGCCATAATCGGTGAGTAAAAACGAATGAATTTAGAAAGGAAAATAAAAGTTAATAGAGATACCTCAAGTTGACTACTTTAACCATCCCTGTTTCACTATTTATTAGCTATCACTGGTAGGATCAGGATCAGCATCAGGTAAGTGAGGAGTGAGGACACCCATTAATGGTATCTGCACGGATTAGCACCTACTGTAGGGTGATCACTACATTTTCAATTGCTCACTTCTTGATCACAGCTCTCTTCTAATATAACCCATTTTCTGGGCTAGTGTGCTTCCGCTGTGGTGGTCCTCTGTGTTATAGAATATATAGTCGTTAATAATCCCATGACACTAATTGTTCTCCTCTGCAGTGTTAAATAACCAGCATCTTCACCCTTAATCAATGACCATGCCCTTTGTACTGTGTTTGTGCCATATCATGTCTTTAATTAATTTTCTTGATTGCAATGCATATCTTATTGCTCTTCTGGTAAACAACCTGTGCTGATGATCTCTGTTGTTTGTATACAAGTGAAGTTCATGTGATGTCATTTATTTTTTTAAACAGTATTTTGAAAAGCCAAACTTTACCTAATTCTAACTAATAATTGTAAACTTAGCAGCTTCTTAGACAGATTTGGTAAATGCACTGACTTTTCAGATAATTCAAAAATAATAGTAATGATGTATGAAACAAATCACTAATAAAATAGATCATCTGTTTGAATAAAGGCTTTGGGCTTTATCTGCCAATAAACTCACAGGGGAGCTCGTGTACACTACACCAGGTGGTTTGGCAAAACTTTGGAGTGGAATGCTTGGAGTCTGTAGAAGACGTGGAGCATTTTTACACTGTCATCTCATTATGTCCTTTTCTTTTCTCTGTAGAGGCAACAATGAAGAAGTGGCCACACACAAGGAAGGGCCAGCTGGGTACAGCCATCAACAACAAGCTGACAGAGCTCAGGGCTCGCCAAAAGCAGACAAAATAATTGACATTTATTGACAATAAATATATGTTAATGACTTATACATTTTGTGTGTTGTATTTTTTTATGTAGGTAGGCTATGTATAAACCTTGAACATAGGTGTAAATAAACATATATGCACATATAGGCTAAACTTATATGCGCATATATGTGAAACTTATATGCACATATATGTTTTGCATATATGTGCAACCTATATGTGAAACCTATATGTGCATATACACTGCACCTATATATGTGTGCATATATGGATATATATGTTCAGAGACATATGTAGGGGTCCAATTTCAGATATGTCACATATATGTTAAACATATATGTGACATATTAAAAATATATAGGTTCATATATATTCCTTCCATGTGGGTTCATCAACACAATGCTTACCACTTCAATGATAAAGCATTTGAACATTGTCAATTAAAAGCTTTGTTTGCATTCTTTACATGCTTTAGCTAAACCCAATTCTTTTAAATGGTTAAACATAGTTAATACATATTCAATAGCCCAGGATTTTGCCAGAAAGTCTCACAGCAGTCTAGCTCAAGTCACGTCTACAGTCCTCCTTTTGGGTACTTTGTCACTTTAAATCTGCCAGCTATATCTTCTTGATGCCCCCTTTAGATAGAGATATGATTAGTCTTGTCCTTCACATTAATCTTTCGGTTCTTTCTCCCTCATTCCTTCATTATGTTCTTAAGCAGGAAAGAGCTGCATGACCAGGCTTTCTAATTTCACAGATGTGTGGTTTTATTCCACTGTACAGAGAGAAAGAGACGTAGTGAAAGTTAAAGGTGGAACAAGGCAAAGAAGAAAATGGAGAGAGGCACAGTTAAAGAGCAAGAGAAATATCACTGCACCGAGAGTTGGGTGCAGGAGCTTTTTATATCTGCTCTCTGATCTCTCGACGAATTGAAAGTACATATTGCCTGAGATCTCATGATGTTGTTTTATTAAATGTGCCAAGTGCTAGGACTGTCTTAGGGAAGAAAGCTTTTAGTTGTGCAGCGCCACTAAATTGGAACAGTCTGCAAACATGTTTAAAACTGAGCACTTTGGTTCCCCTGCATCATTTTAAAACTCAGCTGGGTGACATGCTGTTTGATACTCATGGTACCTGTCTCTGTAAATAGAGTTTGTAAACTGTACCCTGTACATTATGTTGTATGTCATCCTTATTGTTGTTCTGTTGTTTTTATGTTACATGTGTAACTAATGTCCTGCAGGTCACCCTTGAAAAAGAGATCTTTTGATCTCAAGGGGCTTCACCTGGTTAAATAAAGGCTACAAACAAACAAGGAGTGCATGCATGTGAATGTAGATCAAAGTAGGTGTGTTTGTGTTCATGTGTGTCTTACATCTCAGTGATGGTTTCAGGCAGGTTGGTGGGTATTTCTGTCAGTCCCTTCCCTCTGCAGTCTACAATGTTGTTACTGCAGGTACAGGACTCTGGGCACTGTATCACACTGCAGGAAGAAGATGATGATGACGACTGGTGACCTACACAAAGACAGAAGGCCAATATTATCCATGGATAACTGTAATACGAGGTGGTAATCCCCAAGGCAAAATGTGTTAAAGCTGACAGAGACAGCCAAAAAATCAAAGTGCGAAAAAGCAAAGTGAGAGAGTCCTTAAATGTGACCTTGTCTATCCACAGTATAATCATCAGTCTTTTTATATAAAAGTGCTGTAAAGACAAATCTGATGAGAACACATTTCAGGTAGTGCAGTGCTTGGAAGCCAAGCCATGCAATAGAAGATGAGTACTTGCCTTCATCCCAATCTTGAAAAGCATGAGCAAAAGACAAAGCAACGACACAAAGCAAAAGATGGGTTTGCCACTGCAAACACAGATGTAAGTCACAAAATACACAACAAAACAAACAGTCATCTGGACCTACCTGTGCAGGCAAACTCCTTCTTCTGCACCTCAGCCACGTTGTGCCCCCTCAAGTGCGGAGGGGCCATGCATTGTGTGTAGAGACCCAGGCGGGGTCGCTGTCGCAGCCACTCTGACAGCCAGGCCACGTTGCAGTCACACTGCAGGTTGTTGGAGTGCAGGCGACTGGGGACGAGAGGAGGGGGAGGTGAAGGTGATTACAATAAAGGAGAGAAGAGGGGGTACAGACAAGTGGCAAGCACAGGTGTTGGGAAGAAGGGTGAGAAACAATAGATTTGAGGACAAGGGAGAGGAGCAGGGTGGGTGGAGGTAGGGGGCAAGAGTAGGGTTCAGATCGATCAATCAATTGTACAAACGGGCCTTAATGAGAGAAATCCCTCCCATCGGATAAAAATGTGTAGCAAACACTTACAAGGTCCTTAGCTTCGGCATGTGGTTGAAACTGGCCACAGACAGACGGCTGATGTTGTTGTTGTTGAGGGTGCTGAGGAGAACATTTTCAGAAACACGACGCCATTTAGATTCCTTAGATGCAACATGCACTGCAATTATTCAACACCTTGGCAGCAATTATACTGAAAGCAGCCTCAAAAGTGTCTTTCCTGAAAGAAACTTGAACGTAATTAATGTAATTATACTGTACATATATATATATACACACAGTATACATACGTATCCACACTTTTTTTCAAACCATAGGTTGGACAGTTACAAAATGTGCATTTGAAATTAAATGGAAAAATCCCAAATTAATGTCAGTGGAATTTACAGCTCATAACTCAACATTCACAGTCCTTGTGCATCTTTGTGCTGCAAATGATCATTTTGAAATGGAACCAATTTGCCTAATTGTATGTTGTAAAGTATCTGTCAATAAGAACATCAACACGTTTTTAGTCAGACAGAAAAGGAGTCACAAAAGTGGCAATAATGATGTTGTGATCAATTCATTCCTTAAAAAGATGATGATCAGGCATCAAGTGTCCCTGCTGAAATCACATGAAACTCTCTTTTTCAGGAGCTGCACAGGCAAATTGAGGCAATGCAGTATTTCAAAGGTCGACGAGGGTATAAGTAGTTTCTTATATGTCCGCTGTAAATGTTCATCACTCATAGAAGCTCGGCTGATGTTAGCAGGTGAACAGAATAGACAGGTACTCACAGCACTTCCAGGTCACGTAACGCTCGGAAAGCTCCATCTTCAATACAGCTGATGTGGTTGTAGTCCAACTGGCTGCACACACATTTGTACAATCACAAAAGAGAGAAAGGAAAAAAGGAAGCAATTATAAGATGCAAAGGTGTCTTGCAGTATATTTTCAGTTAAGATTGCAGCCAGACAGCCAACTCATCAACAGCCTCTCCCCGTACCCCAGTCACTTTCCCTGTAGTTCTGTCACCTGAGCTCACTGATCTTTAGAGATGAATTCTCAACAAATTAATGTATCTATGTATCCATTCCCCTTTCCTGCTTTCTTCTATCTGACGTCTTTTATGTATGCGCTGCTCTTTACCTCTTTCCCTATCTCTCTTTCTCTCTCCGTTTTTTTCCTCAGGACCGCTTTGCTGAAACAATTTAATTAAGACATAAGGACGGTAAATCATTTGCTGTCCCCCGCATGCAAATGCACACACTCACACTCACACTGCCCTGTCCTTTTACAATAATTGCAAGGCATTTGAAAAAAATGTTTTATCTGATTTAGAAAAAAACCCAGGCTGAAGCCAAATAGTTAAAAAAAATCTATATTTCTAGAATTAGTGCTGGGCAATTACTTTACCTGCGAAATGGCCAACAATTATCCTCAATCATCATAACTATGACTGAGGCAAAACAAAGAGAAGAGAAAACCACCAAAATGCCAGGAGCACACACAATTAAACACATTTACACAAACACACACACACACACACACACACACACACACACACACACACACACACACACACACACACACACACACACACACACAGTAACACAACTACTAACGAGCAGCGGTGCCAGTCAATACAGCAAGCAGGAGGCACATGACATTTAACACAATGAAATATTGATGCACAGGCACATGGGGGTTTTGCACATTTGCAAATACATTGAAAAGCAATGTGTGTGTGCAAGCGTTTGTGGAAGATGCACCACACACACACACACACACACACACACACACACACACACACACACACACACACACACACACACACACACACACACACACACACACACACACACACACACACACACACACACACACACACACACACACACACACACACACACACACACACACACACACACACACACACACACAGAAAGTAGTGCAGGAGTGACACTTACAGGTTCTTGATCTCCACAGCTCCTCTGAAGGCTTTCCGTGGAACCCCCTGAATCTGGTTCTCGCTGAGATCACTGGACAGAGAGATGAAACAAGAGGAAAGGGAGAAAGAGAGCGGAGAGTTAAGCCAAGCTGTCAATAAAGCCACTTGCTTTGCAGCACAAGTGCTTGATGTAATCACCAAGATGCTGCGGGGGAACTTCAGAGCCAGACAGATCATCTGCACAATTGAGTTCCTTGCACACCGAGCACTCCTTCGCAAATATAATCAGGTGGCTCTGCCTATCTCTCAGTGACACAAAAAGCGCTACCTCTGATAAGTGTCCACGTATCTGGAGGCAGACGCAATTCAAATGTCTGCTTTGAACATCCATCCAACTCAGGTATACGAGCCTATAAATGCTTAAACAACCTGTAGGGGGCACTAGTGACCTCTACTTCCCACAGAGCTTCCTGTTCCCCCTCTCACTCTCCCACACATCTCCCCCTCGCCCCTGCCTTCCTCTGCTTTTAAGGAGTGAGTGAGTGAGTGAGTGATGGATGTGTGTGTGTACCATAGGGTTTACAGAGATTTAATTTTCAGCCACTTTAACTAAGCCGCAGCTTGAAAAACAGCAACACTGCGCGCGCACACACACACACACACACACACACACACACACACACACACACACACACACACACACACACACACACACACACACACACACACACACACACACACACACACACACACACACACACACACACACACACACACACACACACACACACACACACACTAATGCATTTTCCTCTTCACTCACGTGTACACAAACACACTGAATCACATGAACAGGTGTCTCTCTCATGAACCAAATATTCTACCTGCAGCAAAGTGAAAAACATGCTATCCCTGGTTGTTATAGCAACTTCATTTAAAGGACACAAACGGATGTGCACGCAATTAGTTTAATGAAATTAGGTAACACAAACACTTACAAATGTAAATAAAGTCATGTAAAGGAGAGGGCTGAGAAAGGCAGATGCCGATATGAAATGTAGGTAAAAAGTGTGTGTGTGTGTGTGTGTGTGTGGGTGTGTCTTCCGCCGCCAATACAGACTCTAGTTCCAGACGGACTCTGTGACCTTTCACCACTGACCCTCCAGCTCTTGACCCCGGCTGTGGCTGCGTGACCTCCACCATGCTAATCGGCTAGCAGGTAATGCCCAGCCACATTCCTCAGATTCCTGCATGTGATCGTGTAATCAGTCCTGCAGTTATCATCCATCTCCGTGTTTCCACCGGCTTCTATATCTGAATCATGTTCTTAGGGATTATCTTTTTGTGTCCAACTGAAATTATACAATTATTGCTTTTATTTCATGTAGAAGGTGAAATTGATTGGCTTTTGATTGCCAGCTGACAGAGCAGGATATACACACTGAGCATAACATCTGCAGGTAAAGGTTTAACACGTACAAACTGCTACATGACAGCAAACTAGCTATTAGACCTATGAAGTTACTTAAGTGTGTCTACTTTTCTCCAAGACAAAATATGAATGTGTTTAAAGATAGAAGAGAGATATTACCGCTAGAGAGGCACCAGTGTTGCGCCAGGCCAGTGTCAACCTTTTGCATCAATGTCAGTCACTGTCACATAACAACATCTGTACCTGTACACACACACATGCACCAAAACACACTCAAGTTCACATCAGGTTTCAATGCTGTCTGATGCCGGGATCAATCAACATTATCGTGGAATAAGACGTTTCAACCAGCGTTAGATGAGAGAGGCTTACATTTGGCTGTTTTACACAACGCAAACATGTGTGTGCTTTTCCTAATGTGCACACACACAAACAGACACGGAGTGGCTGGTCTGAATCAAATAGTGTGTATCCTGATACTGTTTTTATAGGACTGGGGGGGGGGGGGCTGGTTGGAAAACCACCATGATCCTTTAGTCGCTGGAGCTCTAAAACTAAATAAACAGAGTGAAAGTGCTCCCTAACCCCGCCACCCACCCCACACACACACACACACACACACACACACACACACACACACACACACACACACACACACACACACACACACACACACACACACACACACACACACACACACACACACACACACACACACACACACCACACACACACACACACACACACACACACACACACACACACAGCAGAGAAAGTAACCTGCAGTCTCCATAAACTTCGTCTGCATATCAGATGTAGAAATCAGTAGAAACTTGTTAATGTGTCATATGTGACAGTTGACATCTTGACAGTTTGCATGTCTATGTTTGAGGCCGCACACAGACCTCGCTGTAAACGACAGCACGCGTCAACTGATGTTGGCCAAAGTTTGTTTACATACACATTTGACATGTACCCTATGGAGCGTAGATTTTCACAATTATAGTAATGCAGCTATGCATGGTAAACAAGGTTTAAAATACATGATTGGTGCTGTGGACAAGAGGTGCTGTGTGGTATGTAAGTTATGTGTGTGTATGTGTGTGTGTTTGACATTTATCTTCCGAGGCACTGAGATGATTGGAAATTGATTTTTACACGTCCCTCTGTCCCTGTGATATACAACAAGAGAGAGACAACTTACAAACACACACACACACACACACACACACACACACACACACACACACACACACACACACACACACACACACACACACGTGCACACACAGAGAAAATGCATACACATGTGATTGGCAGTTTGGGTTAGTGAGGGGCTCTTAAGGAAGTGCAGGAGGCCACTCTCAATCCTATTCATCACTCAGACCACCAGAGAGAGAGAAAGAGAGAGAGAGGGAGAGAAAGAGAAAGAGAGAGAATAGTACGTAAGGAAATTGACTTCTTTGGGACTTAAGAGTGGATTTTCTTCCTCAGTTTTGTGCCAAGGCACCTGATTCGATTTCATATGTGGTTAAATGGTTTGATGTCCCACCCACCACTTTCCTTCTCTTACTCCCTTTATCCGATGACCTCTCCCTTTTACATCCTCTTTTCTCTCTCCCTTCCTTTGCTTTGGAAATGGTCTTGCTTTTGGACTTCCCCAAAGTTTAACCCCTCACCTCTGCCCCTGTGCCTAAACCAGGAGGTTACCTTCATTAAAAGAGGCTCCTGCTGAGCCCAGTGTGTGTGTGCGTGAATGCCTGTGTTTTTGTTTGAAGGGGCCGGAGGTATTAAATCCTCACAGGAACTATATCACGCTGCTAAGTTAAGAACCTTCTGAAACAAGCATGCACACATACGCGCACACACACACAGTGTTGAACACAGCCATGATGCAAAGTGGAAACAGCCTTAAACACACTTGTACACACGATGCTACAACAGGAGGATATTGCATCTACACTCAACATATGTAGTGAAAAAAAATTATTTTCAGAAATGTGTCCCTGTTTCCATCCTCATGCCTCTTTCTGACCAAAGGAGGCTGAATACATCTGGAAAAACATCTGTACTACTTTACTCCTTAAGTTAATGTCATGCTACGTTATTGTGGATGGGTAATAAATATTTTGGAAAACATTTAATGTAAGGCTGCAGAAACAAAGTGTACTGTAGCAGTAAGATAAGTTAGAAGATGGCGACCTGTCACGTGTAACCCAAAGGCATCACGCGTTTATTGTCAGTACAGCTGATCTCACAAAACAGGTGTTGGTAAACTTATGCCTGTTTTCTCAGACGACGCTTTGGAGTAAATGTAAACACTGGTTTCAGAATTATTCCGAATCCTGTGTACGTAGTCTTTTCCAAATCTACTGACCTTCCTCTTTGTCTGTTTTTCTCACCTCTGGTGGCCCAGGATGTGTGTTTGTGTGGGTGTGCATATGTGTGTATGTGTGTTCATGTGTGTGTGCGTGATAGAGTCAGGTCTCCAGTGTTAAGAGCTTAGTGCTGCTTTTCTAAAGGGTCTTTTCAGAGTGAGAGGGGCTTTTGACGGCCTGCGTGTCTAAGAAGACCTGGGCATGAAAGAGCAGCACTCAATTCTCACACATGCACCCCTCATCCTTCCCCTCCTCCCTGCTCTCACACTGGACACACACACACACACACACACCTACTGTTATACAGTTTCTGAAACTCTTTTGTACGTGCCCTATTGCCACGAGATTCTTCTTGGCTACAGCCGACTTCGAGTTCCCGTGGATGTATATTACAAGTGGAGTGTGTGTGTGTGGCGGAGTATGGGCCAGAGTTGGCAGAGCAGTAAACTAATCATCTTGTTCAAATCCCTTTCGGAGACCTTAATCCTATTAAGTATAAGAATGTGTGAATGGGCAAAGAGGGAGCTGGAAACAGTCAAAAAGGAAGAGAAAGTAAGGAAGAGATGGACAGACTGAGAAAATGTTAAAGCAGAAGATACTAGACAGATACTTTGCAAAGGGTAGCCAGTTCAGATTTAGGTTTCGATGACAGGATGGTCATGGGGAATCCCAAAATGAGACAGTGTGTGTGTGTGTGTGTGTGTGTGTGTTTGTGTGGATCCTTCAGCTAATTCAGGGAGCAATGCCATGAAGTGGACCCCCGAAGATCACACTTCTGTGAGCAATTAGGAGGAGAAAGACTCCCAAAGAAAAGAGAGGAGATGAGGGGGAGAAAGGAGAGGGAGGAGAGGAGGCTTGCTGAAGACAATGCACAGGATTACTGAACACACTGGGGCAGGACTGGCACCTGGCAATGTGGAGGAATGTGAGTGGGATGGTGCATCCTGGAAATTTTGTGTGGCAGACTTTTTAGTGTGAGTTTGCACAACATGATAGAACAATTATGCTTTATTATGTTCCCTTTCAAGACGCCAACTTATTATGCAGAATCACACACAGCCTCCCACGCAGACACGTCGTCTTTCAGCCTCTCTTCAATCGTCCTCTTCTAAACTAATATTGACTTTGCTCATGAATGACAGATCTGCAGCCGTCCTCCCTCTCCCCTCTCTTCCAATCTCATTGTCTGTTTCCTTTATTCCTCATCACGTCTCACACACATACTTTAAATGCCAGGTAAGAGGGTTGCTATGGTTACTGGACCAGGGTGGACACCTAGGG